AACGGGAGTATATTAATCTTTTTAATATGTGTTTTCTTTCATGTTGCCTACTCCTTTAATACTCAACAAGTTATTTACATACTATATACCACGTAGGTACTATTTTTTCTAGATTTTTTGAGAACAAAAACTTTTTTTATTTTTAATGTGAATATCAAATTAATGATGTTATTGATACGATACTGAGGTTTGCGTCAATTAGAAAAGAAAAGAATTGTATGAAATATATGCAATTCATTTATTTTGAAATTAAGTTTGGAAATTTTACATTATAAAAGTATTTTTTTTAAGATACCTATTAATTTTTTTTTAGAACACAGGGGTAAACGAGCATGCGACTTGCCTGATGGTAAGAGACTGGCACTGCTCATGATTATCCGCAACTACAAAAGCAATACCGATATTTTAAATAGAGGCTTTTAAAGACTTGTACGATATGAACAGGTACTAATTTATATTATTTTGGTGATGCTGATTTCGACATTTATTTATTTTATTTGGTGTTATGATGATTTGTATTTTAGTTTTACATTTAGTTCATTTTTGTCCCTTTATAGTCATATATACTTTCCTAGCAGTTTTTACAGTATCTAATACTCACATTGAAAGTGTATGTATATTACAAGTAATTTATTAAATGAATATGTTGATGTAGATGATCCTTTAGAAGGGAATGGATTGTTTGTTAGTAATGTGGGATACCAGTCCCATTGCTAGCATGTCAGGTCGACCTCCACGTGGTTCCCTCTAGAAACTACCGTGCTGAATTCCAGATGTATTCATCACGATGGGCTATCTGACCTGCTTTTTCATTCTCACCTATCATCCCTCACTGGTGCTCCGCCAGTATATACCGTGAGCACAGGCGTGGTTACCATTCCATTATCATTCTTTAAAAAAAGAAGATGACCCTTTTAATGTAATTTCTCAAAAAAATTTGATTTTATTTGTGTTTTTTATTTTGATAATTTGAATCCAGTCAGAGCATAAAGTAAATAGATAGATGTGGACACCAAATAAATCTCATTGTTTCATTCAAATATAGTTTAATAAATACCTATTATGTTATCTCATATATGTATAAAAATGTGATAAACTTTTTATTGCTCTTATTAAGATATTTCATATAATTTTTGCTTTAATATGTTTTTTTTTAAATATTTTTATTTGTATCGTACAAAGATTTATCTAAGTATTTATTATATGTTATATTATGTATTTCCTTATATCTAATTCATGTTCAGTGTAATATGACCTCGTTTTAATTATCTAACACATTTTTTTTATACCGAATAACTGTTTTTTTGTCGAAAACTAATAATACTGTAGTGTGATAACCGTACGAATGGACTAATTAACATATATGTAGTTACATGATCTAAGCTGAATTTACTACAATATCAGTATATTAAACTGTTGTAGTAAATAGTTGTTGTTGTAGTTTGTCCGGTTGTTCAAATTAATAAAATATAAAGCGAAGCAAATAACAATTTTGTTTAATTTTGTTTAAATGCATTATAACTCGATTATATATAAGATTTAGTAAGTGATGATATTTAGTGTTTCTTCGGTAAAATATGAAGGTTTGAATATTTGTCACTGAATCATGCTGAACACATTTAAAAATGGAATTAAATACACACGAACTTTTAATTAAAACATTCAATAATTCCCAGGGTTATGGTAAGTTAAGATATAAGTAATACATTGTTATAAATGCCACTGGACAAATTGCACACCGCCATCTAGTTTCAAACTAAGCAAAGCTTGTATTATGGATATTCGATAAGTGATAGACATACTTTTTTTTAAATACATAGGTATATATTACAAATAGTAAACAGCCTGATCAATAAAAACAGTCATGAATAAAAAAAATTATATAGTAAGGGGATCGAATCTACGACCATTGCAATCTGAGGTGATGCGTTAAACCGTTTTATGTCCATCCTGTATTTTTTTTATTGTTATAGTATGGTAAACAGAGTCATATTATAAGATTTATATTGACGATCTTGGTAATGGTACATATGAAGGGCATAAGACGATTTCTCTCATGGTCACCTGTAAGATAATAGGTGTAAGTCTGTCATATGTACTCAATGTTAAAGATTAAAAAAAATATAAAAAAAATACTAACATTATAAATGTAAAAATGAGTTTGTTTATTATTTCTTGACGTCTTAATGGCTTAACCAATTGTTATTAATTTGCCATTAATATACACATACTTTGGCTACTTTTTATTGTGCATAAATTATATGTCCCAGTCATGCGGACAAAGTCACGGGTAAATATTAGTATAAAAATATTTTTTATAAATTAAGGAAGCTTATTTTAAAAGTTTGGGCATCCTCGCACTAATTGATGAATAGTAGATGATATGTTCTATTTACTGTTCATCATTAGTAATCACCACAAGGCTTTAAAAAGCTAATGGTCTAATTTCACATTAAATAACTGGATTTGTGTGTTATTCACTACAAACAACGTCATAATCTGTAAGGAAACCCGGTTATGTTCATTACAAAGTAAAAGATAGTGGGAATTTACGTGCAAAAATGAGTAAAATTATTAAGGATGTACCTACACAATTCGATTACACAATTTTATATCGATTCGACATCATTAGTTGTATGTCTCAGACTTTACGTGCAAAATGTAGTATAATTATTAGGGATGTACACAATTCGATTGCACAAATTTATAACGATTTGGAATTATGAATTATGTTTGGAAATGTATGTGAAAAAATTAACAAAAATAACAAAATGAATATTTATAAAACCAATACTTTATTATACTACTACACTTATATTGTTAATAATCTGCTTCATTAATAGCCAATATATCTGTCTTATAAACAAGTAGAAGTGACAATGTTACAAAAACTAAATCTTGAAAAAATATGTATTACACTAGTGTATGACTGTCGGCGACATGTTGATTCTATAATGTCATCATGATATCTAGAACATTAACACTAAAACAATTTGGAGACGTCTCTAAAGATACTCTAATTATAAAAACAAATGAATCCCTTTCGGATACATCTTGTTACATACATACTTGTATTTATGTAAATAATATTTAACGCTATTTTCTTTTGTAGTTGGAAAAAAAACAATAATCCTTAATAAATCTAGTCGTGGACACTCGAGAATATTATAAAATTATGACCAAAATTAGAGAAAAATTTGCACAATAACATAATATAAAATACAGCAGTATTGACAATCTCCTCCTTATTCAAATCGAATAAAGAACTTAAAAAGTACTTTATTTTTTTTATGCAACTTAGAATGGCAAACAAGCTAACGACTCAACTGCTGGAAGGTGGTAACCGTCGCCTATAGACATGAGTAGTACCATGTACATAACAAAGTAAACTGTTTCACCCATGATACCCTCCATGCGTTGCTATTTCTAAGAACTTAGGTGTAATTCCTCTGTACCTTGTAAATTCACTGCCATTTCCCACCCTTCAAACTGAAACACAGCCATGCAAACACAATCGTTTCACGATAGAAACACGAATAGGACAGAGGTACCCAAGCAAATATGGATATTTGTTCATTATTTTAAGTACTAAAACATTTATCAATTTTAAATAATATTCCTTTATTTATTCGGGGAGATCCCTTGTTGAGAGATAATCGAGTTCATGAGTATGTTGTTTATTATACTTATTACAAAATAACTATTCATTATAATTAAATACTCATTATTCTTGTAATAATAATTTCCTGTCATTTAACAGGAAAATAATAGCGTTTCAATGGATGATGTTGGAATGGTAACCCCGCCTGCGCTATCGGTATACGCCGGCAGAATTCCAGTAAGTTATGATAGGCGAGTTAAGAAAGCCAGACAATCCATTATGATGAATTCATCAGTGATTCGAATTTATCACGATGGGCCATCTGGTCTGCTTTCATTCTCATGTGTCATCTTTCTCCGCCAGCGTATACTGATAGCGGAAACTGGGTTACAATTCTAATACGTATTGTTCTACAAAAAAACCTGGCAAACACTTTTTTCTCACTAAAGGTCATCAGAATAAAAATTATCTTATCTCTGAAGTTGGAATAAACAATACACATTTGCAAAATTTCATTAAGATGGGTTGAGCAGTTTCAAAGATTTCTATAAACGTATATGTACTAACTAGTAACGCGTTATTTGAGTCTACGTGCAATATTTTATAGTTTGCCATTACATCAGGAAACATTATGATTTAAACATTAATTCAAACATTAATTCAAAGACTACAGTATGTAGCTCTTCAAAAGGGTATATTAAGGTATCTTCAGTGTTGCACGCATAGTGGCATAGGCTACAGTGATCATTTACCATCAGACGGGCTGTATGCTTATTTGCCACCTTTGTAATATAAAAAAATAGGAAAATACGAATGCCTAACTGAAAAAATAATAGCACCTTAACTTACCACTATGGTCAATGAATATATCCCAACCTCGCGGACAAAATCGCGGGTAAAAGCTAGTTATATATAAGTATAAAACGACCTTTGACATATTTTATAAGAACGATATCGATATTAATATCACATGTTATCAATATCGCTTTGCACGTATGAATTAAATTTTTCGTATGAAATTAATAGAAAAATATGTATCTTTATTATTCTAAATTTAAATCTAGGATTTTTTTTATCCATGTACATTTTTTTATCCAAATCGGTTTAGTTGTCTAATTGAGTAATAAGCATGTAGACTTTGCAAATATTCACTTTATGAAATTCTTAGTACTTAGTAATATATTCTAGAATTTAACACAAGAAAAATAATTGTTAAAAAAGTTTAGAAATAATTATTTTATTTTAAAAATATTTTAAAGTATATAGGCGAGTGACCTTATAAGTAAACGTTATAAGAAATTACGTTTTCATAAATTACACCGGTCTTTTCTACGTCACGCTTAACGATAAATTACCACATCCCTATGAAAACATAAATTATGAGACAACTACGTCAAAACGTTTATATACAAAACTCTCATTAGTTGGAGGCCAGTGATGCTTCGCCTTGCAACAGATGCGTGCGTCCAGTAGTATTTTAAATTAAATTAATTTATAAGTATATCATTAATAATAATAAACAACGCAATGGAGAATCTTTTCGTTTTTCTATTAATTGGTGAGTACGATTTTACAATTTTTTTTATGTTTTACAGTTAATAATTTACTTAATTATTATTAAGAGTTTATTAAACTTAAAGTTTGACGGTAGACCTCTTAAGAACACTTCTGTAAATAGAAAGAAATAAAATAGAATAAAAAATTAGACTTAAAGTATTGTTTACGAGTAAAAAACATCAGTTAAAGGTGTTAAAACCAAAAAAGAATGGATTATACAATTACAAAATACTCCAATAAATATATTACTATCTTAACAAAACGTTACAAACCAAGCAGAAGGTCAAAAGGATCAGTATATATCTACAACTATATAAATATTTTAAAGTACATTAATATATTTAACTTTTTTCGGTTTACTGTATTATTATTTTATGAAAGTAAATTTTTTTCGTTGTTTTTCATCCTATGCAGGGTTTCATAATCCATAATAAATAGAAAAAATCCGTAGTTGGTCACAGGTGTTTTTTATAGAGTAAGATAAATAAAACCGTATTTAATACCCTACTAAATTCACTGAATGTAATACAAAATTTGTTCACTACTAAAAAACATAAATAATAGTAAATGTTCCACAATAACATAAGCTACATTCCCCATAAAAGTGTCCACAACAATGATAGGTATAAGTGGTTCTTAATTTCATTAGATTTTTTTTAAGTACTTTTGTTCCGTTGTGGAACAGGCTAAGGTCGGAGACCATGCTGCCTAGTTTTCAATATGATTAATTTCATTAGAAACTTAATGTCATGAGATACAGCTTGTTGTAAATAAAAACAAAAGACAAAGGAACTATACTATACTGCTATAAACACTATGAACTGTATTTACGAACAGAAATAATGAAAACGTTTTTGTACGCAGTAGGTACGTATGTGATCTTGAATAATGATGATAATGATCACGAACCTATTTAGAAACGATTTAAGAACTAAAAAATATGCTGTCATCTTGCACTATCAGTTTTTCTAAATATATGAGTTGGTATGTTTTTATTAGATTTATATTTAGACTTTAGGTTGTTGTACAAACTAAAGCCTAATCTAAGATTTAGACTTACTGCATGAAAATCGTTTTATGAAAAAAAAAGCAATTATTAATTATTAATTATATTATTGTTTCTGCCTACCCTAATGTGAGACAGGCGTGACAGATATGTATGTATGTAGCAATTATTAAATTAAATCATTCTTTTTATCATTTGTATTAATATGATAGTTTGTGGAGTTATTTAGATGTTTGTTTACTTGAATAGTTGAAAAGATTATTTTTATTGATGATTAAATGATATCACTAAAAAATTAAAATATAATCTGTCTTTATATTCTTCGTAAGTATTATTAAAGAATTATTCTAGCAGTAAATTGATAATGGCTGAAATGATGGTGATTATAAAAGTATCTATACCATCTACAAAAAGATCTAAAAAATTTAAGACTGTTTGCTGAAAAAAAATTCAAATAGTAAATTTATATTAAAAGTAGAAACAAAGTCAGTTTGTAAATTATTATGGTTAAGTGAAATATTTAATTTAATCAGCTTACACCAAATCATTAAAGTAATGTAACATCATAAGTGAAACCGCAAAGCTAAACTAGTTTCCTCATATATATAAATTTTATAAAGTAAATATAGGTAAACCCAGAATCCGGTTAGACAAGATGACGATCCTTTTGCGTTTATGTTTACATATTCAACATATTCATTAACATAACTTCTTGGCTAGAAACTATAATGTTAACATGAAAGAATACACTCGTATAGACATAGTTTCTTGAACTCAAGTCTATCAATTATTGATCTATGAACTACATATTTTATATAGATATATGAATAGATAGATATACTTCAATATTCCTACGTAGCAAAAAAATATTGGGAAAATAAGAAAAAATACATTTTTCACACTGGCTTATGACCAATATATGGGCATAACTTTACTTAACCCAGAAAAATATTTAGAATGTATATGGATAACATCAGTCACTCATGTTGGTCGTTTATATAAAAGTATTTTTTTTATAGTACGACGGTGGCATACAAACATAGAGCCCTTCTAATGGTAAATGGTAACTGTAGCGTATGGATACCTGTAACATTAGGGGCGTCACGTGATTTATTGCCGAACATGAAGAAACCTTAATCTACCCTTTCTGAAGATCCCCATACTGTAATATGGAATGGAATATAGATATAAAAAATAAATAGAGAATTGTACAAAGTCTCCCTCTCACCAGAGGGAGACTTTGTACAAAAGTCGATTGCTTTGGTTCCTTTGTCCCATTCGTGTTTCAACCGTAAAGCAGTTGTGTTTGCATAGCTGTGTTTTGGTTTGAAGGGTGGGATATGGCGTGAATTTACTGGGTACGGAGGAATAACACCTGAGTCCTCGGGAATGGCAACGCATGGGGGTTATGTCCATGGTACTGCTCATGTCTATAGGCGACGGTTATCACTTTCCATCAGGTGGGCCGTCAGCTTGTTTGCCATTCTAAGTTGTATAAAAAAAAAATAGAAATAAATAGATAGTTGTTATTTTATTTTATATCTTTATTATCATACCAGCCTAATTCTTAATTCTAGCAAGGTATAAAGATTTATTGTTAGTTAAAAGAAATAATGAGCTGGATCAGGATGCAGTCTTGAAATTTAATCTGCATAAAATAAGTATCCGTAAGTTAGCGGTCAATGCCATCAGAGTAGCCAATAAAACCGGTTACTTCCATATGAAAGACCATGTCCTTTACATTATACAACTATTAAGTGCTTTTATGGCGTACAAAGAGATTCTATTATTCTCAGGATAGTAAGAATAATAAAAATAATTTTTATTTATGTAAACTTAATTATAAGCGTTTTTTAATTGTAATTTTTTATGATTCTACTGGCCATTCGTAATGCAATTTCAAGTGTGAACGGGCAAGAAACTTAATTGCTGCTTTTTTAACAAAAGATACATATAAATTTGTGTCAATATAGATATTAATACAAGTTATTGAAATTATTAGGCAAATAAAGTCCAGTATGAAGGATAAAAAATATTTTATGAATTAATTTGAAATATTTTCAAATAAAAATATTTTATTCTTACAATACCTATAATTACGTATATCTACTTATGATGCACATTTGTTTATATAATCTGCTACCCAATATATTATAGAAACAATACATAAAATATCTTATGTAACACACTTTTCAGTTAGGATATAATCTACGCGTTTACCAAATTTAAGTCAAATTTGTTCAGTAGTTTTTGCGTAAAAGAGACAAACATCCATCCATCTGTCCATACAAACTTTTGAATTTATAATTTTAATAGAAAAAAGGGAGCTATAGTCTTGCATATTGGCGGCTCAAACCATCCTCAAAATATTTAACGTACTTGTAGTATTTGGGATAGAGAAAGGTAATTATAATCTCAGTTCATCAATATATTTCGGTCCTGAGAACGAAGTTGCGGTTAAAGCTAGTACATGAACTAAAAATACTTATTAAATGAGAATTTACCATTTATCTTTCAGTTACAATCAGCAGTGAAACTTTTGGAATGTCTTTTCGTCAAAAAAGGCAGTCCAATGGTAACGACAACGATTTAGAAGATAGATACGGATGGGATAATTCACCTGGAAGACAATCATGGTTCCCCAACACAAACCAAATTAATAACAGACCATGGCAAAACCAGTTTCCAAGACCAAATCAAAATGGCGGGCAAAATCAGTTCCCGTGGCAGAATCCAATTCAGAATGGAGGTGAAAATCAATTCCCGCCACAAAATCAGCAACAGATTCAACCCTCAACTCCACCTACCAACAGCAACAGGTAATAAAGTTTTTGTTATTTTTTAAATTATGTACTTAATTTAGTTTTTGAAAAATCATTAAAAAAGTGAATAGAGGATTGACTTTTAAAAGACAATTCATGATGCGGTACTCATCGTTTTTCATTATGTGAAACGACGGGCTGACAGTTTGTTAAAAATCTTTATATGTTAATATAAAGTCGGATTAGAAAAATTGTAGGTTAGTTCTTGTGATACGACCAAGGGTAAAGCAGAGGGATAAAGTTAGTTTCTAATAATAATAAATAAATAAATTCTTTAATCAAGGCAACCATGGCCAACAAAATTAATTTTAGAATTCTTTTATGACACACATTCATTAACAATGTTTTTCCAAAATGGGAAAGGCAGATTAGTGGTTTATGTATGTCGTAGGGTTAAGAAACTATAGCCCTACGGGGCCGGCCTTAGCCTACCTGGCGCCCCTGGGTGAGTTTTGTGCGAAAAAGAAACAACATGTAGCATGAAAAAACATTAATAGTCTTAGAAAAAATATCTAAAACACTGTTTGACTAAATAAAACTATTTAAGTGATTGAATATTGTTTAATCAGTATAATGCCTTCTTTTAATCACTTATACTTGTTTAAATATGAACAGATATTAGAGACATTTTAGCATCTAAATATGTATTAAACACCTGTCTATTATAAGTTTACCTTTTTGTGGTAAGATGGTCACTAATAATTTCTTTTAAATCTTCTTATTTACAGTCGCTTGCCGAACGATGTACGAAGCTGCATCAGCTCTTGTCCTGTAACTTCAGAATATAATCCAGTGTGTGGCACCGACTTGGTAACATATTCCAATCCTGGTCGTCTGGTGTGCGCAAGAACTTGCGGAGTTAGTGAGTATCGTAGATTTTTTAAGATAATGTACTTTATTGTCGTGTGTGTTCGAAAACCGCCCTTTGGTTATGTATTTGATACTTATGTTTACATTTTTTTATATATATGTAATCTTTGCTGTCAATCTTAATGCTTGTATTACTAAAGCGATTAAAGAATAAACGCAATATACGTTAGTGCTGCCTCTGCAGAGCGATTATGGAATTAAAGTTGCTGTTATGAATTAATTTTGTTTGCTACATGATCGTTAGTGGCACTGTTAGAGAAAAGTTATAGCATGTTTTGTGATATTAAAATATGCCTAACTACATAAAATTATACACACTTGGATATAATTCGATAACTGATTGTGAAGTGATAGACCACGAGATACATATGGATAAAAAAAAAATATAACAATAAATTAACGTAGGTATGACCTGATGATTTCACTTTTGCTATCAATTTAACTTTATTTTTTATTGCCTACTGTCATAGTTATAAATACTCGTTATCTGACTTGAAGTGCCACATTGATGCATTGGATTTTAATTCTAGTTACTTTATATACGTCTCAAATGATATGGGCAATTTAATGCATTCAGAAGTTACATTAATAATCAACTTACTAAAATATACAAATTCTCAAAAATAAAAATATTTTAAAGGAACAAATAAAAATATATAACAGACAAAATTGTGTACGACTGCATATAGCTAAGGAACAAAACAATGCTCTTAGAGTTAGTTCTATTAGAACGCGAAACAACCGCTTTAAACATAAAACCAATAAATATAATTATAACTTGTACTTTTTGATACAACGAAACATTCTAATATCATTCATTTTAGAATGTTTGTAAATTGCTCTTAGTACATATGTTATATTAAATAAAAAAATCAAAAGTAGAAGAAAAACTATTAGGCGATTTAAGTATAGTACGAAAGAAAAGGGCTTATTTGAATCATAAATAAATATACCTACTTAAATTAGGTATTACGCACTAACAAAGCTTGCAGAATTAATCTTCTCAGTTTGAATATCTATCTAAGAATAGACTATAGACGGAATTTGATTAAAGAGATAATTTCGTAGAACAGGGAAATTATAAATTCGCACATGTCAATTATAGAATGCCAATTAGGGTATCTACCTTCCTTCATACGTATTGCGGTTACATCGGAAATGACAAAAGCCCAAATACGTCAATGTGGGTAGTAAATATCAAAGATTTGTAAATATTAAAATAACTATTCTAAATTGGAATATTAATACGTCATATGAGGTGCCATAAACGTGATAAAATAAAGATTATGTTTTTAACGAAGCTACATTACACGCTTAAGGAAAATACGCTTATTAGGAGTTTATGAATCATTTAATAGCAGTAACAGCTAATACGACTCATCTTGAACATCTTGTTAGGTGCGAAGGATAATTAATATAGAAGCTTTAATGCGGCCTTTGTCTAATTCTAAAATGTATAAACATAGCAAGATTCTTGCTTGAATATTGGACCGATTCTAAGACAATAATTTGTATTAATTTGCTTAGGCTAGAAACTAATAATTTATTTGTTGTTTTATTAAGAATATTCAATAATTTCTCATATATGTTTTTTAAAGTTTGTGTTTTAATATTCTTGATTTTTTTGTTATTAATATGTCAGTACAACTTTAACACGAACTGTGTTTCATTTTGCTAGTGACTTGCAAAATATATTTCATAGTTTATAAAAAATTATTGGATGTATAAATTTTAAGAAAAAGGGCCTTTTTATCTATCTTTGACAATTTTAGGGTACAATGACCGTTTACTATCAAAGCTGTATGTTAATTTTCCATCGTCGTAGTATAAAAATATATTTATGAGCTAATTATTTTTTTGTGTAAAATATCTTATTTTAGGCGCTTATTTAAAAATAATTTATTTTCAGATGTAAGCCAACTAAGGACATCCCCTTGTCCCACTACAACAGTAGCGCCTATAAGCTGATTTATTTAAGAAGTTCCATAATTAAGTGAGATGAATGACTGAATAAAAGCAAAATTTATAATAAATTCTCTTTTTTTATTGAATATTTTTTTTAATGGACTGCATGGTGGATACTGTAGAATAAAAGATAAATATTTGAGTAGATTATATCTATACCTATCGCCGTGTAGTCCTGGCGAAGAATGAGTCACCCCTTCCTTTTCCATGGTTATCGTAAAAGGCGACTAAGTGAATTTAATGGTCGAGGGATTGGCAGCAGTTTCTTTTAAAGCGTTACTAAAGCATAACTACTGTTGCTGAACCGCCTGCCAAGCGTGGTAACTACTGGCAATACCTGTATCCACTATATATGATGATATATACCTATCATATACAGTGGAAACAAGAAAAATGACAAAATTAGAAACTGTTTTTAATGGCCATAATAATTTGATATTATTCATAGAATCTATTTAATATTATGTTAATCTCTCTAATAGATCTATGAGAAAGATAAATGCAAAATATAATACTACTGATATAAAAACTTATAAAAATCTTTCGATGTTCATTAAACACACAGATGCCTTTGTGGTTTCAATAAAAACTAATACACAGACAGATCAAATTTTAGATTAAAATATGGTACACTTTTTTGTCTCCATCATGTAAGTACAACAGGATAATAAAACTAGATTTACTGAAAAAACAGCTTTAGAAGAGAGGAATATACTCGTATAAATTTACTATCTACCAAAAAGCCTGAAGATTCATCATATCAATCGAAAACTTATCACTTATAAATTCCAAATCCTAATTATCCACAATCTTGAACATCATTATACATATACATACATAAAATTCAATGCAAGTTTGGTCTGTTTCAATCTGAAGAAAATAAAAGTAAAAGTTTTTTAAACAGCTTTCTAGTATAAAAAAAGAAAAAACAAACAAATAATTGACCTTATTGTAAGACAAGCTGTTGATGTCCAATAGCAGAAGAAATAATAAATCGTTTCGTTTTGTTACTAATTTAGAATGTGTTTCTATGATCTACCAGAGGGAAACTTTGCACAAAAGTCGTTTGCTTCGGTCCTATTCGTGTTTCAACCATGAAGCAGTTGTGTCTGCATGGCTGTGTTTCGGTTTGGAAGGATATGGCAGTGAATAACACCCTAGTCCTCAAGAATGGCATGGCCGGGGGGGGGGGGGGGCATTGTTATGTTCATGGTACTGCTCATGTCTGTAGGCGACGGCTACTATTTTCTATCAGGTGGGCCGTCAGCTTGTTTGACATTCTAAGTTGCATAAAAAAATGATTTTCACCTAACTTGGTTACTTTATATATATTTTATGTTAGAATTTATATTAAAAATATATGTATTTGATGACTTTATTTACATATTTATGTCAAAGTTCGGTAACCTTTTTTAACCTTTGACATTCTTAACTAGTGGCTAACAGGAGGAAAAGTTGTAAATTTTACCGAATCAAAACCATTAATTTGATACTTAATGTGTGTACATTTTTTTATTTTATGAAGGTATATTAAAAAAACTGGTTTGATATTTATTTCCTAAATTCTCAGTCTTGTAAAATAATTACAAAAAAATAATTTTTTACTTGCTACTCACGCCAATTATGCACAGGTATGTTAATTTTGTCAATACTTTTGAAAATCTTTCTACTATATTCTGTCTTATTCATTCAATCACTTTCTATGTGAAAATTTTTAACCCACTTTTTTGCTTTAGCATACAATTTTTTAAACATTTTTTTCGTACAAACTACTTTCTGGTAATTACAAATAAAAAAAATCACCTAAATAGGTGCACCAGTTATAAAGTGATGTGCTTACATATTATATATGTACATATATGTGTATATTTATTTGGCAAATGATTTTTATTTATATAGATATTAACTTTTACCCACGACTTCCTCCGCGTGACCTGAATATGTTCACTGGCCGGAAGAAAAAGTAGCCTGTAACCGTTTTCCGGGACCCATCTATCTCTATACCAAAATGCATCATAATTGATTCAGCGGTTTAGGAGTAAAAGAATACACATAATATTAGAATACACCTTATTATTTAAATTAACATTAGAATATTTTTAATATTAGAATATCTCTTTGGCTTTTCTTAAGGTAATCCTCAACTTATAATCTGCTAACGTGTTATGTGTCTGTACCTAGTAATTTTACTGCATTTAAAACAGAACCATACAAGTATATAGTTGTTTGACGACAGAAACAAGAGTGAGACAGAAGTACCCATATTATGTTTACCACACTACCTTAGATTATATAGATACAGCGTCGAGTCCCAAAAACGGATCAACTTTTCAGCTAATTGTCAAGTTAGCTGACTCATTTTCTTTTTAATTAGTGTTCTATATATTTACGCACACAACGTATCTATATTTATTTAATTAACAAATAACATTAGCTTTTGCGCACTTAAAAGGAGCAAAAATTATATGACAAAAAATAGAACTAATAAAAAAATTACAGCACACTACACTATATTTAAAAAAAATTATACTCAAACTTTATTTATAAATGTGGACGTATTTTTTGAGACGCACATAGTAAGTATGTATTTGATAAAGCAAAATGATATAGGCTGTTTTTATTTCAGTCAATCAATATATTTCGATTACATGATATGTCACGTGTGTAAACTAGTATTTATATTTTTTTTTTGATAATTTTCAAGAAAAATAAACAGGTATCATTGACTCTGCCATCTGGCAATACCAAGATAGATGAGTAGTGGTACTTATTCCACATTACGACAAATTAACTTCAGTACTTAAAGTAGGGGAAAAAATTGGAACACGTGTATTCTAATCAAATTAATTTCATCCTGCTAACTATTTCATTAAAGGATAGTCATTGTTTCATTAGACATGCAATATTAGCATAACATAATAGACGGGAATCCTCGAAGGTCTAATATGAAACAGGTATGTGTTTTCCTGATCTATTGTACTCTTACAGTTAAGAAATTAATTGGATAGTTAACTAGATAAGTATATAGCTGTAGAACCACTCATGCTGCTTTTCATGGTATAAAGCTATCTGGTATTGCAATCGTGTTGGAAAAACGACAAATCTGCATGTTTTTTAATGGACATAATTCCTTTGTTTTACGCCGTTGTTTTAACAGTCGATATTAGTAATAAATGTAATAATTTAAGATTTTACCTGGCAAATAATAGCGACTTTATAACAAAACCAATATGAGAACAATGGGACTTAAATCTAATGCAAAAATACATATTAATATCTATGGCGAAGATATCGTGTAATTATATTTTGTATATTTAAAAAATGTATAAATAAATAGAGAAGCCCTTACATTTATGTGAAGCAATGTATAAAAAATACTACTTTGCTTTAATCACTGGTCATTAGTGAAATGTACTTTAGAATAAGAATAATGTTTTAAGAGTAAGGGTTAAGAGCAGTTTGTTTTCACACACATGTTTGTTATACGCATGCTGCAAAACCAATTAATATAACATTTAATTAATAATTGGATCAACTGACTAATTTGATTTAATATATTTTTATTTTGAATCGAAAAAATATACGTATTAAGTGAATATTTAGGTTTAGTGCTTTGATTTTCGGATCCCGTTATATCCGCAAAGTATGATACGATACGAAACCTTGATACATTTTCAAAGTTACAATAAAACCATTTCCGTGTTTGTGACAACACTTACTTTTAATAAAACTTTTAGAATTGTTTTAAGGAAATATAGTGCTGACTAATGTGTCCTTCAATTCCAGCCACATATTATACACAGCTATCTGTTTATACGCACATTGTATGTATTTAAATATACTTTACTAATAATTAGGGTGTGTAAGTAGGTACTATGTTGGTACAATTCTCAATAATAAATAATTCGATTATAAATAAATAAAAAAAAACTTCAATTGTAGCAAAACCAGTAATTTTGATTTAAAAACCTAACTACTGAACTAATTTTGATTAAATTTCTATGGAACTAATCTACAAGTATATCAATTCATATAAAAAAAGAATTTTCCAAATCGGTTTATAACTGACGAAGTTATGACGTAACAAACAAAAAATACAATCGAATTAAGAACCTCTATTTTTAAAGTCGGTTGAACATTACCATTGCAGTGTAGTTGTTTTATATAAAAGAGAATAACGTTTTAAAATTTTGTTACATAGTACTTATAGCAGAATAAAATACTCTGAAAATTAAAAGAAATAAAAAACAAGTATAATTTCCTTAGATATATACAAGTTTTTATAAAATTACTAAAAAAATAAATTTTTAATTTCTTGAGCTGTCCACAGCATTAAAAACTCGTAAATTAAATATTTATGTTTCGATTAAAATATATTCACATACATAAACATCATAATTTAGCTGCTAAAACAAATGTCATTACTTAATTTGGATACATTTTAATGACAATGTCAAATTAACGATATTTTCATTGGAACCAATTAACAAATTGGCAAATGCTTACAATTATATTGTTGTCTTACACTATCGTAACAAAATCCAAGTTTATAAACTGACTTTGTGAATCATCTATATAAGAAAAAACAAGTTATTCGACGACGAAGAGAGGGGGTTTTTTTACAAACTTAATATATGAGATGGCTGCATCGCTTGTTAGTCATTTTGCGCATTGTATTTTGTGGTGTGTGATGTGCGAGTTAACGTTTTCCTTTAAAAATATATGTACGTTTTGAAATATTAGGTGTTATTAAATATTATATCTACTTAAAGGATGAGCTTGAGATTATTACGTAAGTCTATTTATCATATTATTGTAATTCAACTAATAATTCTGCATTAATAACACATTACATGTATTAAGTTTCTGATTAAAAATATTACAGAAGCCCTAGAAGGAAATCATTTACCATGTTATATCTCGTTTCTCGTTCCCATTGGAATTTTCAAAAACCCGTTATCATGTTTATTATCGATTTTTAATGGACAACTACGTTACGCAAAGAATATCCGTGTAGATTTTCAAGTTTGTACCAATTAAGGTTCTGGTAAGATTTTATTAATGACAGTATTTCGCAAACAGACATTTACGAATATATAGCGTAATAACAACAATAATAACAAGCCAAAATTTGGTGTCTCCAAATTTTGGCTTGTTATTATTGTTGTTTTAAAAAAAATAACTATTGTCTCATAAGTCAATATAAAGAAATAAATTAATTAATCTCTTATGTAAAAATCTATAAAATGCTTTAGACCTATGTATCTATTCATTTTGATTAAAAACCACTGAAATATCTTAACAAGGTTTTTCATTTATGTAATCATAAAAGGGCTAACAAATTGGTCCTTTCATATAAATCTGCCATGCCCTAGATGTTCTGTAATTCGTCAAAGAAATATTTTAATGAGTATACTTCAGCATCTAGGGAAATAATAGTTATTTAATTGTAAAATGTCAAATAGTAATTTGTTATAATATAAATAATAAAATAATGCTAATAGTCTGTTTTATCCTGTAATGTTAATTAATAACAATTATTGAGTGTCCTTGTTATGTAAAACGTATGCATGTTTAGTGTATGAAAATAATATATAAAAGTTATTATGATCTAAAGGTAAGACGTATTTATATCTCTAAAAATAAATCGATACGGCGAAGCCAGTGTATAATTACTTCAAAGAAAAGAACATTGACCTATTGTAAGATCACCTCATAATGTATAACTAATATAGTTATTTAGCTAAGAGAGGAAACACAATGTGCCCACATACTTTTATGATTATACTGTATTTTTGTGATAATAAATAAAAAAAATTTATACATATTGGTTTGTTTAAAACATAATTACAAGAAAATGGCTTAACAATTTTTTTCTTACAATTGTGAACATGCAAATGGAAAATAGCAATCGCGCCTATATGCATGAATACCATTTAGGATGGATATCACAGAACCACAATGCAATGTGATGATACTGTTTAAGTGTTGCTATTTCCAAAGACTATTGTGTAGTGTTTTCGTGCCTTGTAATTTCACTGCCATATCCGATTCCTCAAATCAAAACACAGCCATGTAAGTACAGATGCTTCACGACAGAAGCACGGATGGGTCAGAGGTACATTATCAAGTATGATCGACAGAATCGGATCAAAAAGAATCATGACTAGAACATTGTATGAAGGCGCGTGAGACATTGCTAATTGGATGAGCAAGCTGACAGCACACATATATATATATATATATATATATATATATATATATATATATATATAACAATTTAAAATTTTGTATTTCCCATAAATTTCTATTGTGAACAGGAAGTAAATGGTGCAAGCGAGTTTAGTCGCGGGAACTTTTATGAAAGAAATTTTCGGATGCGTGGATTTTTTAATGGGTGAAAATGGAATGGTATCCTCGCCTGCGTTAACGGTGAACGCTGACAAGGTACCAGTGAGTGATGATAGATCAGAGCAGAGCGGGCGATGAAGTCAGGCCAGTTAGGTCATCGTTATGACTCGTCAAGACAGAACCACGATAGGTTCCAGGGGAACCGCGTGGAATTGACCTGACAGGATATATTAGGCTAGCAATGGGGCTCTCAGCCCTCATTACTAAAAAAAATTTTTCCCCCGACGTGTGGGTTTGTGCTACTTATAAATATGACTAATAATAAATAACATCATAGTCCTCAAGAAGGGCATCACTTGAGACGTACCACAGATATCACAGAGAATTCTGTAAAATCCATAGTGCTGTTCTTGTCTATAGACAACGGTTACGGTTTCGATTAAGTGGGCCGTCAGCTTATTTGCCGTTCTAAGTTTAATAAAAAAAACTAAGGTAATTATCTTATAATTAATTGACATGACAGCGGCAGCTGTTGTATAAATATAAATATTGGTAGGTATATTAAAATCAATAATTGATTAAATTTCAATTCAACGTATATTGATTGATAGATATTTGATAAATAAAATTAGTTACTGACTAATGGAATAATAATAATAATATTTATTGAAAGAATAAAGGATGTGACACACAGTAATAACAAAATTTAATTTAATTCTATATAATTAATTATTGATTGTACTACTGTATTATTAACCGGTTAAAAACATGTTTGTTACACAAGTACACTTAAACGGCTGAACGTAATTGAATGAAATTTATATATAATATACATAAGATTCTTTATACTCGTATGTTACTGATGCGCGGTAGCTTCACGCAACACAATTAGTAGGCGCTTATATGAATAATTATCTACATACTTAAGAATAATTTTCTACATATTTATTAGGTGTTTAAAAGTTGAGTGAATAAATATATAATTATATTTATATAATTTTTGTATTTAATTAATCTAAAAAGGAATGGACATGTAACATAAATAATATAGGACCAAAATGGGAATAAAGGAATAAAAATTGCAAAAATAATTAGAAAAATTGGTCCAGAACGTAACATACAAAAAATAGGTACGAAAAGAGAAACTATACTGATCTAACATTAAAGAAATGTAACTTTATAATGTTACTCTATTAATAAATATAGCATATGTTACTCAGGGTGAATGTAGCTTTCTAATGGTTAAAGAATTTTTGAAATCGGCAAAGCAGTTTTTGAGTTTATTTATTACAAACATATATACACACAAAAATACAAATCTTTCCTCTTTATAATATTAGTGTAGATGTATATAGTACGTATATGGAAGTGAATCGTGAGTTTGACAGCAGAAGTTTGAAAGCAGGATAAATGCTGTAGAGAGCTCTGAGAAGTATGTGTGGTATTACATTAAAAGACAGAGTGAGAAAAATTGTGATTAGAGTGGGGTGTAGACTGAAAGACGATGTAGTAACAAAAATCGAAAATGGGGATGCTGCGTTAATTCAGCCATTTAATAATTACGTAATTCTTCTTTCATCCATTGAGAGGATGAAAAGATCAAAAGAGATTTATCGAGCACGAATTAATGAAGATGTCCACCAAAAAGGCGACGTCCTAAAGAGAGGCTTAATCAAAAGTACGAAATATGTATTGTATTGTATGTTTATCGATTTCAATCAAGCGCTAGGATCACTGCAGATGATACAAAGTCAAGTAGTCAAAAGGTTAAAATGATATTGTATTTTTACATCTTATTCATTACTTATATGGGTATTATCATAATTGTGAAAGTTTGTGAAGTTGTTTGTGTATTTGTTACTTAATCATCTTTTGGTGCCCGAACAGATTTAGATTGAATTTGGTACATGAGTAGGTTATATCATAACTTGGACCATGCGATACTTTATATACAGGTTTACACGGACAAAGCTGCAGTAAACAACTAGTATTAAATTATATTTAAAACATTGAAAATACAAGTGAAATATTTAAATAGACTATGATGGAATGATTTTAAATACTACAAATATAATTTGATCGATTTATTTTTAGGCGAATAGAGCCCTAGATTCGACACGTCAAGTGCAAATTAATCCATATTAAATACAATAAATAATAGTTATACCTATTCTATAATTGCTATCGTGTTTTTTATTAGTGGCGGTCATTGTGGTCAGCCAGGTGACAAGCAAAACTCATTATGGATTCGGTGATTACCCGATGCACAGGCGGCCAGATTTCCATTATCCTGGCTGGGGGCATCATCACGCTGACTGGGGTTCTTATCCATGGAATTCTCAAGAATCAGGCGAGGATTATTCGTGGGAAGGAGACAGGTATCGAAATCAAAGGTACATTAATCGTTGCTTGTAGATGTTATTTATATATTTTTTCATCCGAGGTAGTGTAGACAAAAAGAACCGCATACCAAAGGTTTGTACGTACTATATATATTTCTTGGTTCATTTATTTTAATAAAGTAATCATCATATCAGCTGTTACTATCCACTGCTGAAAATAAGCCTCCAATATAAGAGGGGTTTTGCTAGTAGTTTCACAAAAAAAAAGAAACCGTCTTCAATTGTAAAAACCAGTTATTTTCATTTAAAAACTAAACAACCCCATCGATTTTAATAAAATTTATATGGGACGAATCTGCAAGTATATCCTTTTAAATAAAAAAAAAAGGATTTTCCAAATTAATTTATGACTGACGTAACATGAAGTAATAAACAAATAAAAAATCCAACTACATTGAGACCCTCCTCCTTTTTTGAAGTCAGTTGAAAAAGTCGTTACACTGGTGTTTACTTACTTGTTTAATTTTTAAACTACATATTAATTTCCATGTAAGGACAATGAATCTTTAATACAGATTAAAAGTCATACCAAAAAAATCTCTCGACAACTATCCCAGTTCTTAGGAAAAACCTGACTTTATCTCGCAAGTTGGAGCAAACAATATACATTTACAAAATTTCATTAAAATTTGTTCAACGGTTTTGGTGATTAGCGTAAACGACCTGCGAGACACTGACTGGGATCTTTAAGATGAAATCAATCAACTTATACATTGTTGTCGGTCGATAGTTATTAGGGAAATACCTAATCACTAGATAATTTCCATGTTTAAATTAACGGTTTATAAACTACAATGACATTACTTTATCTTTGACATAGGTATAATGATCATAGATTTATTAAAATGTATTTTACATTCTATTTTTAACATAAAGTATGTACCTATGCTTTAGACGATGAAGATGGAGCTATGAACTCAAAATTATATTGTAGGATTGTGGATGCAAGTGGTTCAATACTATTTCTTTTGGTAGTCTATGGAGGTGCCTGTACTTAGAAGTAGACAATTAACAATCAGCTATTAATCTTAACAGGATGATGATAATGAAATTATTGTAGCAAAAAAGTCAAACAGTTTCTGCGATCGTGATATCGGATTTGGTTTTCACATACCTAATATGTCATCATATGTGTAGGATTTATAAGATATCTTTATCAGATATATTAAAAGTGCAGGTGTAATTCGCTAATTTGATACTACTTTACATACATATTTCTTTTTTTTTTTAATCGCTATAATTATGTTTTATTAGGTACAGGAATTAACGCGATCATTTAGGTAAACTATATTCATCATATCAGCTTTTAACTGTCTACTGCTGAACATAAGCATCCCCCTTAGGGGGTTTTGCCAGTAGTTACCACGTTTAGCAGCCGGATTAGTAACTATAATTAGGCTTTGGAGATGTTTTAAGAGGGACGTTGCTGCTCATACCTCGCCCTCCTTAGTTGCCTCTTACGACACTCACAGGAAAGGAAGGGGTGGCCTATTCTATGCCGGGACCTACACGGCTAATAAACTATAATAAACTAATAATTTACCTGAATATAATATAATAAAGTATTATTATTTATTTGAATTATTTCTACTTGTCGACCAGATTAAACCGGGGGGAGAGGGAATGTCAGTAATGCGGTCTAAAAGCCCTATTGCTAGCAACGTACTCTATCAGGTCAGTTCCCCCTGGAAACTGTCGTGATTAATTCTTGTGGAATTCGTTACTATGGGCTAACTGGTCTGTTTTCATCCTCACCTATCATCTCATTAGTGGCTCGACAGTACACCGATAGCGTATTCCATATTCAACCTCTAAAAAGAAAAACTACTCCGGTCGTGGTCACAAGTAAACTGTCTGATATAGCACTGTCATATCTCTGCTTCCGAGGCAGACGTATTTTCTTCTACCACGGCCCGTGTAACTTAGTCGGAACGTCGAGATAATCCAGATAAATTATCATAATTTACCTAAATTATCGTATTAAATATCGTCTCTTATAAAACACAAAGTTTGAAGCGCGAAAGTCTAAAAGTTCAAATCATTACATTTGACTTATAAATGTAAAAATAATACAAAAATATTACAGGTCATCGATGTCTACTACAACAAAAACGATACAAATACGTACCACTACTGTAAATGATAATGCGGATACGTCTCTTAGAGCATCAGCTAACATGAACCAGCCAACAACATTGGAGATTCTGTTATGTTTGAGAAGTTGTACTATTACAACTGAATACCGACCAGTGTGTGGAACAGACAATGTGACATACAGCAATCCATCCAGGCTCCAGTGCGCAATTAATTGCGGTGTTGGTAAGAATATTCACACACATATGCATATACCTCATGCTTGTTTTCCATTGGGACGGACAGATGGAACGTCATATGCTCGATTTAAAAATACCTCGTTCGCTTTTTTTAAATTCATCTATTTGTACAAACTTGCCGGTTACGAGTACTTTTAATTTAGCCCTTTTTCAGAACGTCATCTATTTGGTCTACATCCATCTAGGGCTGTTCCTATCGACATCTCTATTCGTTTGTGTTCGTGATAATCTCTATCTTAATTTTTCTTTCATGAATCCTCTGTGAATGATCAAACTAAGGCAATATTACCTTTTCATTCTCATGTTACTACATTGACTTTCAGTCCACACTTCTAACCACATTATTTAAAAATATGTCTTTATAATAAAAATAATAATAGCTCTTTTGTATATCAAATATTCATTAACTAACAAACCTTCGTGTTGTGTTAAGATCACACAACGCCTCGTCGGTTCTTTTTAACCCAGATATCAAAGATGCAACTGTTGAAACAAAGCATAAAGTAAAAGAAAAGTTAAACTTGAAATTAAATCCCAATCGCTAAGTCATTGTAGGCCTAATATTCTACTTATGTTAATAAGATTTCAAAATAAGATGAACATTAATAAATTGCTATAACCAGTGGCTCCACCTGTATGAATCAGTACACAAATTGTCCTATGTGTTAAGTTGGAATATAACCTACTCGCGTACCAAATTTCATTTAACTCTGTTCAGTAGTTTTTACGTGAAAGAGCAACAAATATCCCTCCATCCATCCATCATTACAAAATTTCAAACTACAGGTGAAAAAAAATACACGGACTCATACTATATATACCTTAACTTAACATAAATATATATAATTCTTATGTTATTAAATTTAATTACATTTTCAGATGTCGCATTATGGAAGCCTACAGATTGTCTAAATAATGAGCCGAATACTAACGTCAATAACAGACCACAAATAGGGAGCACTACTCAGTCTCCAGCTGCTATACAAGCTTGCATGAGCTCTTGTCTTGTGACGTCAGAATATAATCCTGTATGTGGGACCGATAAAGTGACATACCAAAATCCGGGACGATTGGAATGTGCCAGGAATTGCGGAAAAGGTAATATGCGTATTTACAGAGTGTAATATTTTAAAATTAAAAGAATTTATTTTGCAAAACTGGTAAGGTTTGTATCACTTGTCAATTCAGTTAAAGCATGAGTAAACAATTTTATATAAATATTTTTAGATTTATATAATACATAATTTTATGGTATTATTTAAATCTATAAATGCTTACTCGGGAGTTGTTAGCTCTGTTTTCAATTAAAAATATTTCATTTTGAGTATACAAAAATATGAATATTAATATATGAATCATTATAAAGAAATTTCTTGTAAGAACTTTATTTTAAATTAACTGAGAAATATATGTATGTTATCTTAATAATCATAATTATAATCTTTTTTCTAGTGGTATCACTCTTCCGACCTTCTCGCTGCCCGCCACAAGAACCTGCATCAGATTCAAATTCAGATAATAACAACACCCCAAGTGGAACAACAATGACAACAACAACAGAAAGACCGTCGACAAGGCCCATGCAATCCAACACCAATGGACCTGTCACTATCGCGCCGACCAGATTCACCAATATAGTGATACCAATAACAAACGCTCCACCTACAGAAAATAAACCCACTAGTAATGGATTAGATTTTAGCATACCACAGCATTTACTAGACAGTATATTTAATAACGCCAGCACAACAGAAGATACCCTAGATTTTAGCTTTGACGAGAGATTTGAGGAGAATTAATAGAATTGATAACTGTCATTAGCGTCGTTAAATTAAGTATAGGTAATATTTAATGATTAATAAAAAATACCAAATTTGAACCACTCTTTTATCATTATTACTTATAAATTATTTTCCTAATTACCCACATGTTAACAGATTCGCGTGAATTGTTAACGATTTAAGTATAAATTCGAATATCACTTCAGAGCAATGGCATTCGTTTTAAAGACGTTCCAGCGGTCACTTCAATTTATTACTTTTTGTATTTTGAAGTTATAAACATGTGTCTCAAGTTTAACTGTCGAGGTTTAATTATTTTATTAGTGTTGGTATTTTTTACCGCAATTGTTGGGAGTGTAAAGTGTAAGTAATATAAATCATACTAATATTTGAAATGTGAAAGTGTGTTAAGATAATGTTGTTTGCCACTTAGTCTATATGTAAACGGTTGAACAAATTTTAATAAAATATTGATAACATAATATTAATAATCTAAATAGATACATATTATACTTTTAGTTCTTCTTGCTCCAAATAAAGCCGCTTGATACAGCTATAGTCAGTTAATAAAAACATGGCTGCATGTCATTTACTTATTAGCAATAATTGAAATGAATAGTTTTGATTAGCAGCACAATATTCAAATTTGTGTACATTTATTTCATTGTATATATTTTTATTACTACTTTTTTAAAACGCATGTAGGTAGTGTTTTCAAGGAATTTTATTTTTCAGTAAACTCAAAGAGACCTTGCAACGATAAATCACCAGAATGTTTAAGAAGGACTATACAATCAATTCTTCCGAAGTTCATGACCGGTGTGCCAGAATACGGTGTTGAAAATATGGATCCATTCCATATAGATAAATTTGAGTTTGATTTTGCTGGAAATCTGAAAGGAGAGCTGAGAGACGGCCGGGCGAGAGGTCTTAAGAAATGCATTGTGGATTCCGCAAGGTACATGAAAATTAATCAAAAATCCGTAATTTGTTTTATCATAAAATAATATGAGAAATACGGTAGTAAAATATCTATATTTAAACTTAATTTAACTATAATAAACTCAAAAACTATTCAAACGATATGAAAAATTCTTTCATCTATAGAAAGATAGTGACAGCGATGTAAGCCACATATTATTTTAGAAAATTCTATCTACTCCGATTATATAAATAATATGAAAAGCAATTTAGAATCGCAACGAAATCGAGTAACATAGACACAAAATAATCAGAACGAATTGAAGAAGCTCTTCCGAGAAAACATTCAAAATTACTTTAAATTGTCAAATTTAAACATTTGTGTTTCTCTCTCTCTCTCTCTCTCTCTCTCTGTGTGTGTGTGTGTGTGTGTGTGTGAAAAAGTAATCGCCAATTAAATATTTTATACATTTCGGAAATTATTTTCATGTAATCCTAATTATTATTATAAATGTCAAAGTACATACATATATTTTTTTTTAGTTTGACGAATGACGTTGTGGAAACTGTGCTTCACTGTAATCTAACCATCAAAGGGAAGTACAAATCTTCTGGACACCTGTTATTGTTTACAATTAATGGTAACGGTGTTACTATGATTAAATGTGGTAAGTACCCTTCACATACCTCCATGTACTACACCAAATCCTTTTCCGTTCAGGCAGTGCGTCTATGGAACACGCTGCCACCGAGTGCTCAGTCCTTAGCTTCAATTAAAGGACAAGTCAAATCACATTTTCTTTCACGTTACTCTTTTCCATTCTTCTGTACTTTTTTTGACTGGATTCCTTATAGTTCCTTGTGTGTACTACGTATGTATTTATGTATGTGTATGTTTATGTATTATATATATATATATATATATATATATATATATATATATATATATATATATATATATATATATATATATATATATATATATATATAGAGATTGCCCTAGCGATAAGACCGTCTTTTGTACCTTTGTGTATATATTTCAATCTGTATTTATGCTGGTGCATAAGAGTTAAATAAATAAAGAAAAAAGTTAATTTTTAATATTACTTTTATAATTTTACTTTTTACGTTATTATTTTCCGTATAATTATTTTTTTTATTCAAGATGGGTTTGTACTTGATCTTACCTCAAAACCGAAATATGACAAAAATTACTTATACTAATTTTATATATTTATATAGCCAAATATTCTATTTTCATACCTATATAAGTTGATTACGTACTCGTATATGGTAAAATCCACGTAATCGATAAGTTTGTATTTTTTTTTTAATGAATGATAATGGAATTGGTTGTGACGCATGATAGGTGAAAATAAAAAGGCAAGTCAGTTAGCTCATCGTGATGAATACACCTAGGATTCAGCACAATGGTTTCCAGAGGGACCCATGTGGAGGGCGAACCGATAGGATATATTGCTAATAATGGGGCTGATAGTCCGCTTTATTAACAATCCCTTTCCTCCCGCTTTACTAACAATCCCTTTCCTCCCAATAAGTTCGTATTAGGAACTTAGATTATTTGTAAAAAATATGCTTTCGACAGAAATTATAATCTGTAGTTTATTGCTAGTTTTTATTAAATTAAAACCCTATTTTATATTAATACCTTTCAGTAAACATTAAAATTCACAACGTCATGAAATTAGGATATGAAGTAAGGGCCGATGGACAAAAATATTTGACAATAAAAGAGACCAAAACAGACCACAGTTACGATGACGGTCGTATTATGTACAACATGACAAATCTCTTCAAGGGCAGTCCTGAAACAAGTGAGTACATTTGTGTTGCTAAGTTGTTTACTAGGATTTCGATTTGAAGGGTGTGATATGGCATTGTTCGTAATTCCCGTGTGGTCCCGACATGAAATAAGCCACCCCTTCCTTTTCCGTGGGTGTTGTACGAGTATAAGGTGACGAAGGGAGGGCGAGGGATGGGTAGCAGCGTTCTTCTTAAAACATCTATATATATATATATATATATATATATATATATATATATATATGCCATGGGCATATTAATGTACTTTGTATTATCCATGATAATGTTCCAGTTTCGAACCACTCTTGCATCCACTGACTCTCTGCAATACATTTGAGGTAGTCGTTCCATCTAGTGAGGGGTTTTTAATATCTTTGTCGTAAAATCTTTTATTCATTACAGGTAAGATAGTACTTGAGTTCATGAATGAAAACTGGCATATGGTTGCGGAAGAATTTGGAGACCCGATGGTCAATTATGGTGTATCAATAGTAATAAAGAATATTCAGGATTTATTTAAGAATATACCGTACGAACGATTTTTGTTCGCTGATTTTTAAAACGAGGACTTTAAGATTTGTAACTATGAGTAGAAGTAATAAAAAAGTCACTACATAATTTGTAATATAGCTTTATTACAATATTTCAAAATAATTGCTATCACAGCTTATTCATTAGTAGATTTGGTTTGGTGAAAATGCCAATTATCTGCTTGATTTTGGATGGAACTTTTTTAGTTTTTAAATAACATGAGGCAAACACTTTTTTGTACACTAAGAGGCCATATCTGTACACCAACTTTTTAAAACTTATTCTATCTAAAATGCCTTGTTTCGTGAAAAATACTGCAGTCATTTACTTCTTTACTTTATTTTTAATTTACACTAATATAAATATATGACAGTAGATACTGTCATATTTTTATATTACTGTAAATTTTTATTAAGACTACTCATCTACCTACAATTGAAAGTATTACTGTATTGTAAAACTTATCTTGTGAACTTTGTATACTATAAATAAATAAAAAAATAAAATCACTACACAACAGAAGAAATTATTTTTATTTTGTTTACAATTACAATATAAACATATATTAATTGATTAAATTTGTGAAACATAAACTTACACTACATGACACTAAAAACACAAACTCCTTTAAGCTTAAACAAAATGAGAGACTTGAATAATTACAATCAAATATGTAGTAGCCACACTAATGTACTTAAGCATCAAAGTAATATCAACAGAAAACATATCGTATATAAAAATACGTAGTGGCCACGCTTCTATCAGATCCATAAATGCTTTTGCTTGCATTCTCATAGGTTTAGGAAGGTCGTAATCCATGATTACTTTATTCACCAGAATTTTGCTGTCATTTCTAGTCAGAAGTAATCTTTCACAAGCCAGGGACATAAAGGCAACTTTAAATATTGCTGTAATGCACCAAATGATGATGGTTATTAATGAACTAAAGGTTGCTTTAGGTGTACGGTAGTAGAATAGTGAAGTCCAGATTGTGATGATTATGTAAGTGAATGTCGAGACAAGGGTCATAAAGATTTGAAAATTGAAAACTTGATTGATCAGGCAACAAGTTTCGCCAATAATATCATAAGTTACAGCCAAGTCTCTGATTTTCATGTTCTTGGATGACATACGTCCGATCAAATTGAAATTCTCCTTAGGCGTCGGTTTCCTTTCGCCGACTACAAACACGGAATTCTTGCTATTTTCTTTATCATTCATGAAGTTGATCAAATATTTATTGATAACAATAAGTCTCGATCGCAACATTGAAATGATTAAACAGAATATTAATATTTCGAGGTTTTCTTCAAAGAAAATAGGGAGTACCATAATTTTACTCAACGATATCTCATCACTGGTCATTAAGTCACTAATACTCACGAAGATGTGGTAGACAGCGAGAACAATAATGTACTTAAAGGTCCGACTGCGAGATGCTTTGTAAAAATCTTGGTTCGTGTTTATGTGTAACATTGAATCAAGATTTGCGAAGGTTGTGAATATGTTTATGTTAGCTCCACTGAGCAGGAATGATGTCATTATAGCTGACGTGACATACTGGAGCAGGATCACTATTGACGGCACCTCATCCATCGTATCCACTAAATTTCCTGTTCCGGTAATTGCGCTTGGTAACTTTAGAAAGCAATAAAAAATTACAATATGAGCAGAGGTAATTAAGATTCCAACAAGCTTCATCTTCCCGTTAGTAGGTTGCAATCCATTATCCACGGTATGAAATCTGTAGATCCCAAAACAATGCTCAAATATAAGAGCAAGTTGAATTGTATTGATCAAGTCACTAATATTTGTTCTGGGTTTAACCACATTTTCCTCATTTTCCTCAGGAGCTTTTTTTTTCGGCTCCACTTTGTTATTCGACATGATGAACTTCTACTGGTCCTATTGACAAATGATACTTCGGGCTGTTCAATAAAATTATATTTCGTAGCATAATCAAGAAAATTAAATTCCATTACTGTGATTAATTACTTAGAAATGAAAGTAAATTTTCCATCGGCGTCTAATAGACGCCGGTACTTATAAGATTATCGAAATATGAAGTAGATTACATTTGTACTTATTATAATTATTATAAATTATGTTAGTATATATGTATACATATAAGTACAAAATATACTTCATTAAAGTAACACGTGACATTAAGTATTATAATTTCATGCTACTTCTAAAGAGATATTGGATTTTTTAAGTATAGATGATTTATTATAAAAATAAAATAAACATTAAGTATAAGTATTTACGTAGTTTTTTTTTAATGGATGATAATGGAATGATAACCCCGCCTACGCTAACGGTATACGCTGATGAGACACCAGTGAGGGATGATTGATGAGGATGAAAAAGCAGGTCAGTTAGCCTATCGTGACGAATTCATTGATAAATTACTCATGATGGTTTCCAGAGGGAATTGCGTGGAGGTCGAGCTGGTAAGGTATATTGATAGCGATGCAGACTAATCTCCCCATTACTAACAATCTCTTCCCCCCTATTTACATAGGTAAGGTTATCCATAGGCTACTACAGTAGTCTATACCATATTTACCACCAAACAGCTGTATGTTTCTTCGCTGCCTATTAAAAACAACATCATAGAAATGACGTGTTAAAAACACATGTTAAAAAAATATCATAGACAACATAACAGCTCATAATTATAATAATTCATACAATAAATACCTAACTTATTTAGTTTAATTAGCAAAAAAAGGTAGGTACCTGTATTGCATATACCAGATACATAGATCTTACTGAAGACCAACTTAACAAACTTAAGTATCTCTAAAACATGTGTATTTGATTTTCTTCATCGCATTTAGCTCAAGTGGCTTCTAATATGTCGAGGCCGTGATTGCCATGTATTCTATCTCTTCTTTATTCTATCCTATTCCATCCTCTCACACCTTAATACCTCAAAGAGTGATTTATGTAATAAGAATAATAAAATAATTAATTTTAAGAATAATCTTTGTTTAAAAACCCCTACCTATACCTCTATGTACTATTCCAAATCCTTTTCCGTTCAAGCTGGAATGGAACTCGCTACCACCCTCTATACAGAATGTCCAGTCTCTAGCTTTGTTTAAAGGATAAGTTAAATAGCATTTTTTTCATTGTAGATACCCTTCTCTTCTTTCTTCTGTAATATTTTAAAACATTCGTCACTTTTCCTTGTGTGTCCTTATATATAAGTAGTATTTATATTTTTGTACAATATGGATTTTTGTATCCCATGCACATAAAAATTACTCATTCACTTTTACGCCACCTATCCACTTCTGCTTTCCTTTAATCAAATGTTGTATGTAAAAGATTGTTATAGCGGTAAGACCGCTTTTTGTCCCTCTATGTATATATTTTAGTCTGTTCTGTATGCTACTGTATTTCACTTGAATTTTCTAATTGTCATTGTATAATTGTATGTCCTAATGCAATAAAGAGTTAAATAAATAAATATATAGGTATTAAATGATTGTGTTGTAAAGCGACATCTAACGATTTTCTTTAACTGAGTGACGTATGTAATAAACTAACAGAGGGCGCTTTCTGAAAATTTATGTCTTGTACTATTCCATACCAGATGTCGATAGGTGTGCACGATACTCCTAACAAAAGATCGACTTACCTCATAAAAACTTTGAAGATGTTTGCAAGAAGAAAAAACAGTTGTTTTTAGTGACATCAAATAAAATTAATATTGTCAAGAAATTTATTTTATCAACTATTTCAAACGTAGAAAAAATATTTGTTCTTCCCTCCATTATAAAACTTATAGAATTACCTAAGTAAAAATTACAAGTACACGGGGCGCCAGTAAAGTATGACATGTGAGATGAAAGCCATGTCAGTTGACCTATCGTGATTAAATCAACAAAAAATAACTACAATGGTTTCCAGGGAGAATCACGTGGAACACGAGGGTAGACACGCGAGGAGAGAAAGTCACATGTATCTGACAAACGAACACGTGGCTATATTAGTTTATAGGTTAAATATGTTCAGTTATTCTGCATAAAACTGAACATAATACAGCCTTAATATATATAAGAGACAAACGAACTTCTAAGTTTTTTTTTATTGGATTATATTGGAATGGTAATTCCGCCAGCGGTATACGCTGGCGGGATGATGAGTGAAAATAAAAAGACAGGTCAATGAGTTCATCGTAATGAATACATCTGGAATTCTGCACGACGGATTCCAGGGGGAAACACGTGCAGATCGATCTGACAGGGTATATATATATTTTTTATGGGTGATAATGGAATGGTAACCCTACCCGCGCTATCGGTATACACCGGCGGGGCACCAGTGAAAGATGATAGGTGAGGATGAAGCAGGCTAGTTAGCCCATCGTGACGAATTCAACAAGAATTGTTCACGATGGTTTCCAGGGGGAACCACGTGGAGGTCGACCTGATAGGGCATATGCAATGGGGCTGCAATGCGGCAAAACTCCATTGCTAAGAACCCCTTTCTCCCCGACAGGCTAACAATTGACATTGCTAACAATGCGACTGGTAGTCCACATGTTCGTATTACTAATAATCCACCCCCCCGAAATTATAAATAGATATGTATGTTTTCGTACATATAATAAAGCGCAAGTCGCAACATATCTAATGACAGATTCCTTAGGCACTATTCTAAAAGTATAGGCAAAATAAATAGATACCTAATTCGATTGAGATCAGTTCTATATATTTGAAATCGAAATTATTAGATAAAAACTATTACTACTTGATGCTACACTTGTTAAAGTTTCGTATTAGAAAGAAAAAATAAACGTCTTTAGTAAATACTACAATTGCGTTATAAAAATAATTAAAATATTGCCTTATTGATAAGATATTATATCTATACAAGATGAAGATTTTCGCAAATATTAATAGCCATGAGGTGATCGCTTTGCTTAATATTTGGGCTTTTTAATTATTATGTGTTAACTAGGTATCCGTTCCCTAGGAGTTTTTTCATCACAAAATCCTTATTTATTGTATACATTAATAAAACATATAGAAATATGACAGTGGAAAGCAAATGCTTTCGGCTTGAAGGGTGGGATATGGCGTGAATTTACTGGGTACAGAGGAATAACATCTGAGTCCTCAGGAATGGCAACGTATGGGGGGTATTATGGGCGAAACAGTATACTCTGTTATGTCTATGGTACTGCTCATGTCTATAGGCGACGGTTACCACTTTCCATCAGGTGGGCCGTCAGCTTGTTTGCCATTCTAAGTTGTATAAAAAAAAATGCACAAAGGCGAGTTTTTGCAAGAGTTCTCTTTCAGCAAATCCAAAGTGGAAAGGCGCATCAATCAATCATCTATCGTCATCCTTCTTTCTTTTTATTCTATCAGTATTAACAAACTGGAAATAGCATACAAGCTTAGCTGAATTGAGCTAATTTATGTGAAATTAGTAGTTGTTGCTTTATAAACATGAACAACACGATGGAATGCTAATCACATTTAGTTTATGTTATACTATAAGCGTCATATGTATATGATGCTCATAGTAGTGTCGATCACTTAGTTTTACACTTCTTGTATCAGAAATCTCAGCTTCTTTAATAGTTGTTAATTGTTTAAGATATGTACCTATCAGCTCCTTAAATATTAAAGAACACATTTAAGGATTATACAGTGTATAGGAACGAGTATTTATTTACCCAAGTTTTAATACCTTTTAATTTTAAAATCTCAGTTCAAACTCCTGTAAATAAAAGTACATATCTACTACTAAGCACGCCTACGTACTTATACTTATCGCCTTGTCTTTCATTCCCTCTGATTGCATAACTAATTAAATTGTTCATTCGTAGGTAGGTATACAGATAACCCTCGTGGATCATAATACCTGCAAAGGTAGTTTTATGTATACAACCCCAAATTGTTACAGCGAACTGCTTTCAAGGTATGTTTCAGTTCGCCAACTGTCATAGGTCCCAGCTGAGCGTTGCGGACCTGCGCCCGCTGTATCGACCGCTCGCAGTAATAGTCACGTGCATTCGTTGACTTATCGATGTTATTTCTTTGGGACTTGAAAGATATCTGCTTTAAGTCAATTGTATTTTGGTTTTGGACGTATGTGTTCATATAAATTGTAGATGTGTAATATATTAGCATCTTAGGAATTGGTGTGTTCCACAAAACATAGATTTAAAAATGGAATCAACGATAGAGTAAACCTAATCAAATATTGATTTACATTAAAATTGATTCATTTTTTGGCGACGATATTGTATAATATACACATAAAATGTAAACACGTTTGTTACATTAACAAATTCCTCCGTTTTAATGTCGGTTTTTGAATTTCAATGACAATGATGATCAGTCCACTCTCTTGTAATTAATAGCAATACAGAGTTTCAATAAATATATTAGGGGTTGCACCTCGTGATCCCATCGTGACTACTGTAAAAAAAATAAGTTTGAGCTGCACTAAAGTCATATTTCCGCTGATTCTGAATTTTCGAAATATGGTGTTTCTGCTTTTATCGTAGATCTATGAATAACTGATCTAACGTCAATTTCAAATGTCTAACAATGGTGTGAAAAGAGTTATTGATTCTTGTGGTATTCGTCATGGTGGGCTAACTGCCTTACTTTCATGTCCACCTATCATTCCTCACTGGTACTTCGCAAGCATATGTCAATAGCACAGGCAGGGTTATTATTCTACTATCATTCCACAACAAATTAGTTTATAGTACTCATGATCAGAAAATTTGCCAAGATGTATTCGATTGAGTTATCGAGTAACACCACAACTCTAATCGAGGGTTGAACGAAAGAACTGTAACACAAAGCGGCACAGGCAGCAGTGGACGCGCGACAATCGCGCGGGCGGCTGCTCCACGCCGCCGCCGCATTGGCCAAGCGACACGGACGCATCACGCGGCAACATGGGGCAAACTTCGGGTGTCGAATGTACCCCAGGCGATGATGAAGAACCCCATATCCGAGCCAATCCTACGGAAGGTTCCCTGGTAAGTTACGAGAGAATACAATGTTCTATAGGTCGGTACCTACATACTTTGCTATTACGTATGAATTCAAATCATGTCCTATTTGGAATTTTGTATTAAATAAATATTTGATAACATAAACTGAATTTACCTATGTAATATAACTGCTAAATATAAAAGCTTATTTTGAATAATTCTTTACTTAGATGAACAATATAATCCTTATGTACGCTACAAACTTACAATCCAAGTTACAATCTTAGATATGAACAAAAATAAATTATATTATGAGGTTAATATTTATTGAGCAATATAAATATAGCTAAATTTAATCTATACCTACTAATAAAGTATAAATATTCTGCTTGAACCACTGGACTTAGAACCTTGGAATTGTAATAAGTTCCATTAAGTGACGTAAGCAGTCACCGATGTTTTCGGAAATGGGTAGGCCACATATGGGAACGGGATATCAGGTTCCGCCACTAAATTTGCCTCCATCTATCGCAGAATATGAATAAAGTATGTCAACTTATTTCACATTGGGTATACGATTCTAGTAATATGTTTCAGTAAGTAGGTAAGTATATGTTATGTATAAAATCAATCGACTCAGAAACAGAATACGTCTAATATTTATCGATAAACTTTGTTCAAGTAATTATTCTACTTACTAGCAGCATCCTGCGGATTAGCCTGTGTGATTGTACAATAAATACATAAACATTCAAACATCTTAACAAACTATAATTATTTACCATCTATTGCTAGCGCCTTTTATGTGTTGAATTTAAACCAATGAAGCAGACCATTTTCAATTGATTCAGAAAGATAAAACATAAACCAGATTTTAAGTTGGGTCTTCAGGAGCGCAACTGCGAAGACCGCATTCAATTTGCTGCAGTAATTTTTACGTGATGTCGGTTACAACATACATACATACGTATATTACCTTCTAATGATTTTATTACAAACTCCAAGCATTGTTAAAAAGTAAAGTAGGTAAAATTTTGCTACGTTATCCACTATAAATTATACAAGCCGTTCATAAAAAATAAAATGAAAACTTATATGACCATAGTTTTAATGTTATATCGTATTCGATATATACGGGTCTTAATACATCTCCTTAATTTTTTTCGTAATATTTCCATTGTTATTTAAAAAGTTATTAAAAAATATAACAAAGAAAGAAAGAAATATTCATTTTGTGCTTAATTACAAATACATTTAATAATAAACAAAAATAACAGTAATCATAATTTATTTTTCTAATACATTATAATACTGGAATAGAATCATACAATGTTCACAGATTCAAAAGTTTATTTTTGAAATAATTTCTGGTTAAAAATTTTAGTGAAGATAATATATTTAATAAAGATAAGAGAATATATCAGAGTGCCATCTCAGAGGATTGAAGAAGTCTTTAAATTTCAAGTCCTTATTTATAAATTATTTATCGTCTTATATTTGTATAAATAATGGAATTACTTTAATTGTAACTTTATTAAATAGGAATATATTAAAATGTATATAAATATTTTAAGACATATATCGAAAATGTTTAATTTATTGTAAAACAGAATGGGCAACTACTTTAGAAATCTACATACAATTCATATCTTCATACAATTTTCGCGCCATGCATGCTTACCACCAAACCATAAATATTTGGCGCCTATTTTGTTTCTAAATGACAGTCAGTTGTCGGCAGTTGTCGGTCTGACAGTGTGTCGAATGGTTCTATCCATGCGCGTGCGTGTTGTGAAACGAAACGTCACACGCAGCCAACTAATTTTATTCTATCAAGTTTAATAAAATTCTTTTGTCCTTATAATATTCCATATTTTTGTAGTATTTAAGAAAGACTTTAAGGATATCATACTATATTGTATACATTATTTGATTATTTTTAACAAATATGGGGTTGTGTAAGTGCTGTCAGAATTAAACTATTGTTTTTGTTAGCGCGATAGAGGAAGGTGTGTTGATGTTCAGTTATTTTTGCTTGAACTTGATGTGATTACAACACGTCTAGTGCCAACCAGCTGTGCAGTGACTAAACATTCTATTTTTTGTTTTGTTGTTGTGCTGTATCTGGTTGTAAAACTCGAAGATGTCCAAGGTGTCGCTAAACAATGTCCCATCAAATCCTCGTATTAGTCGTCTAAGAACATATTCCAGGGTAAGCATTGCATATTATAAAATTTATTTTTACTCTATTTTAACAAATCGTGTTAAAAGACAATTTCACGATTCTTTTAGGTTATATTTGCAAAGGTTTGCAATACATAATTTTAATAAATCGTGTTTAACTAGTTTTTTTCATTGCTCATTAAAAACTGAAAATTGCATTAAGTACTATAGAAAAAGTTCATTGCCTGGTAATTTTTTATGTTCACTATTATTTTATTAGTACTATTAATATATTATTTAGTACTCTAGCAAACTTTTGCTAATACCTATATATTACAATTATTATTTTCATGTTTATTAGACACTCTCTTTAAATTCTTTTGTGTGTTTTGTATTCAAATATGATAATTTCTTGTTACATACTACTATGTATGCCCAACTCTTTGTGTTACTTCCATACAATTAAGAAAAACCTCTTGTTTATAACTCTTACTTTACTTTGTTTAGATATCGGTGAAGTGGTTAAAATCTATTAAAGTAGATCTCTAAACAAAAAAGTTCTCCATATTATTATCTCCAAAAGATTATAATAGTAAATTCAGCATAAGTAATAATTACAAGAAAAAGAATAGACACTTAGAAAATAGTGAATGGTCTTATCTCCAAGAGCAGTCTCTTACAAGCAACCTTTGGATTATAAACAGTTTGTTTGGAGTTATTATGAAATTTTGTCCATTTTATCAATATTTGAGTTTGTATATTATTGGTTAGTTGATTAGAATTATTTTGTTTATTTCCAGTATGTATATATTAATATGTGTATTATGTAGTAGTTTTAAATGGACTTCTGTAAAATAATACCTAGTCCAGTAAAACATTTATCTACTATATCTCGGCTCCTTACCTGTTCAATTAATTGACATCCAATTTGACATACTCTTAATATTTGGTGTTGATAGACTATTTTTTTCCAACACTAATATGTTTCTATCAAATTAACAAAGTCACAGAAATTGCTAATTGTGAAGTCTTGTAAAGGAAAAGTAGATCTACTGTACTACTACATTTCATTGCATTTCAATACTACCAGAAATTATAAAGAATATTTATACTATTATTTGTAACTTAAAAGTATCAAGAGAAACTAAGCTAAGACAAATCAAGTTAATAACATAAATTTTCATTAATGATAAAATTTATTTTTTGAATGTTTTTTCATATTTCAATCACTTTCAATAATTTTAATGCTTTAATTAATTTTTGGAAATTAGGCCTAATTAAGTAATAGCAATCAATTTGCTATTACTTAATTAGGTCTACACAATATTAATTATAATCATATTCTACAAGTATATTGTGCCAAATGTTACCATTAATGGTAATGTCCTAAAAATAGTATCTCTGCTACATTGTGTAAGATAGTTATTAAATACATATTAAAGTATCTGGTATCTGTTCATGTCTAAATAAAAGACATTCCTTAAAAAAAGGGTGGGGGGGTATAAAATAATAAATTTTGTTACAATAAATTTGGATATAAAATTATAATCCCACCTACTAAACAATGTTTAGGTAAAAATGAGACTGTATTTAGATAAAATATTAAAAACTGTATGATCATTTAAAATTTGAAGTTCTCAGTATCCCGCAATTACAGTATTCATGTCATTTTCTAATTGAGGCATTACTGTTATCCCGTGTAAATTAGGATGTGATGTCAATTTAGCCCAGTTAAAATGGTTATTGTTTAGTTTATCATCAATAACAAGGGTAATTAAAAAATATTTGGCCAGTTTAAACAAAACTGCATGATACTGGAGGGAAGCTATTAGTCGACATTAGTTCAATGTATTTACCACAACTATTTGCTGTGTTGCTTGTATTTGTTCTTTGCTTAAACTGAATATTATTTTCAATTGATTTAAAGAAGAGAAAATCCTCAATTTTATTTCTTTGTTACAAATTTTAACGATTCTTTATATATTGTCCAGTACTAATTTTGTTAAGTTTGGAGTTGTTTTTGTGTAATAATAAACATAAATTATATTCAAAGATATACTTAGTTGTCATATAGTAGTTTACTTGTGATATTAGATACAATAATATTCTACCTAATTGTGAAGTGCTATTAAATTATGGATACACTGAACAGGGTTTGTACTCAAATATTCTTTGTGTATTTCATTCAATTAAATTACTTAAACTTATTATAGTGTAAATAATAATTTCTAATATTTCTATCTTCATTAAAGTTATTTTAAAAATTTTAAAAATTATTTTAAAAGTTTTAAGAAATCTCAAGATTGATGTTTATATCTGCTTTTATTTAATGAGTTATGTTACACATGATCAATGTTTAAATAGGATATATATGATTTTATATATTATAATGACACATATATTATTTAAAAACTTATCTGTATACCAAATCTGTATGTATATCTGTGCCAAATTACACCCAAATTTATTCAGTTTCTTAGGTTTGATTGTGAAATATCCAAACAAAATTCTCTCAAAACTTTCACACATTCTTGTTATAATATTAGTACCAGATTTTCTTAAGTATTGATTTGCATTTATTTATTTTATGATTTAAGTATTATTTATGCTCTCATTCATTTGTAAACCAAATGTTCTTTGTCTGAATTCCTTTTTGCAATTTTAATAATAGAAAATTGATTTTGATGAAGTTTATTAATTAGTAGGTACTTGACTCTCTAAATAATAATTTAAAATTGTATTCCCATATTTAAATTAATATCAATATAATGTACTTAATACCTTATTGTTATAGCCATATATTCTTGTACACATATATCACCTATGAACTGTGAATGTCACATTCACGGTTGGTTTGGTGCATAGAAATTTATTTAAATTTTAATCATATTATCAGTTTATTTCCACAAATTGTTAAACTAGGTATATTAATAATTTTAAAACAAATATTATTTGATATTGGAGATTTCAGCTGCAAGAAATATTAAATAATGTCACATAGGTACTCTGTCAAAAATATTCATCTCAATGAGTTACTTCCTTACTCCATTCATTCATATTAGTTCATATTTTTTGCTAATGTACTTTGTTTCAATACACATAAAACTAATTTAGAAATGGCGTATTACATACATCAGTGAAACTGGATAATTTTTTTAAAATTGATAAATTATAAAAAAAAATGAGACTCCCATACTAACAGTGCCATACTACTCTAGTAATAAAGTAAATATGAAAAGTTTAAATGTTTTATTGTGTTAGCTTCAGGAAATTTCTGTCCTATTATATATTAATAATATATCTTATTTTCATATCCTAGTTTCATATAAAATAAATAATTTTTATTTCACCCTTTATAATTATCTAGATATATTAAGGTTCAATAAATTAATATGTATATAATATATTCTTTATTGCACTAAAACATATAGTAATAATAAAAAGTTAGTAACAAAGTAAGCAACAGTACATTATGTTTAATTATTATTATTACTTTATATTAATATATTTAATAACATAATCATAATGTTTCTGTTACATCTGCATACTAGCATTTATCACGCGTGTGCGTAATGACCGCCGTACTACATTATGGTATGTGAATTGTTTCGCAATGTAATCATCTCTACTCCAGTAGGATAGTTGCGTTAGTAATTGGCATAAACTGTTTTGTCGACTGTATCAATGATTATTCGTTGTGTGGCGGTCACAATAGATAGCAAGTTTCAATTATACTATAATAATTTCAGCTATTTATATTTGTAATTAAACGAAAATAAATATCAGTCTATTTAATCATATACTAAGCAGATCCTGTGCATTAAGTGCTAAGGATACTGAATATAATTTTTTTGTAATACATATTATATGTCTATGTATACAGTTATGTCTCACTAGCGATCACGTTGCTGACATATTCTATAATATATCCTGATAGGCTGACCTCCACACAGATGCCCCCGGAAAGCGTCGTGGTTAATTCATAGTGAATTCATTACAATGGGACAACTGACATGAACTACCATCATTCACTGGCAGATAAAAAAAAAAAAGAAAAAAAATACACCATAAGGTGAGCAGCATGCTCGTTTGCCCCCTGTTTTAAATAAAAGTCAATAGCGCAAGCGGAGTTATCATTTCATTCTCATAAAAAAGCCAGTCTAAAGAATGGATTGTTAGTAATGAGATTGGCTAACCAATTTCTAGCAATAGTTGATAAGGTGTCAGGTCGACTTCCACACTGGAAATCATCATGGTTATTACCGGTGAATCCATTAAAAACTAACTATCGCTGTCGGGTTTTGAATTGTATTCTTTCGTTTCACTCTGTATGAAAGCGGAGGTCATGTTTGTTTTGTGTTTATAAACTAAAATACCACGCGAAATGTCAATTAATTAGTAAAACATTAAGTCCATAGTACTGCTAGTTGACCGTTGGATCGATTCAAAAGGTCTTCTGAATAAATGGGTGTAATAATACACAGCGTCATTGAGTGCCAAACTAAACAGACCTTGTACTATGGGCACCAGACAAGTGATGGACATTCAACAAATACATTTTTTGTAAATACATAAAATACACAAAAATTATCACTAACTAGTCCATTACAGTCATAAATACAAATGTTTATATTGTGCGTGAGTAACATAACGCCATCTAGACTCAGACTAAAAGCAGAGCTTGTATAATGTTTATTTGATAAGAAATTCTTATATGTAAATATTATACACAGACTAATATACCAATTTATAAACCTTATAATTATATACAACTCAGATTCATATAGACGGGTACATTCATGAATCCATTAAAATCGTTATATATATTTGAATTAAGCACTCTAAAAGAAAAACTTCAGTTTTGCTTATACCGAACCTATTTTCCGTTCTCATGAGAATATCCAAAACCATTTTTTTTTTCACTTTATTACATATTTTCTTTATTTCATATATCTGAGGGCCTACCATGAAATGTTTTCCGAAATGTCGGAGCCAAACGAAACACAAATTGGATGTTAAAATTACATAATACATGCCGTTTGGAAATATTAAAAATGTTAAAATATTGTTCCTTTGGACTTTTATGATAGGATGTATGATAAACGAAATGTTAAATTCCATTTATTGATCCGATTTTGGTATAAACAAAAACACGAAATTGAGCCCGAAATTTCGGAATTTCATTTCATGGTAGACCCGTTGATATGTAGGTACAATCGAATTGGGATCAAATCGAAATGCATCGAACGGACCTCAAACTGATGATACTCGTACCTTTAATCAGACTTACTTTGTATTGACCTCTCTTCGATTCGCTTTTTATTTGATCCCACTTCGATTGCCTCAAATGTTACCCACTGGGTTCAAATAGATCGGGAATCAGGATGGTAACTTTTATGAAATATCCAGGTTAAATGTTCCGATTTGTGCCACAGTTGTTTTGTTGTTTATAATCTATTTATAAGTACATATATATCTTGTAACAATAACGTTGTTGTTAGTTAAGTATAAACAAGTACGCAGGTTCATAACTACGTAGATTATATAGGTAGGATGGATACTTGTAATAGTACTCATATATTTTAATTCAGTACCAGTACTTGTTAGTTTAATTTGGTGGGATTATAAAACGAAGTAGATATTTGATACATACACGTGGTAGACAATAATAATACAGAGGAAACTTTGGTATTTGTATGTACGTATAGTATGTAAGTATGATCTACATTTCATGGAATAATATATACGGAGTTTGTTTATAAATTTTTATTTCTTTATTTTCTTTCGCTTTCACGTCTAAAACGCTGAATTGATTATGATTAATTATGGTATAGAGATAGATGGATTCCTGGAGATGGTTATAGACTGCTATTTCACCTGGTCATAAAACATATCTTGGTAATGTAGACGAAGCGCGGGTAAAAGCAAGTACCTAATATAAAGTACTTAATTCATTGTGTGCTAGAACAAAGGTCGTGTGACAAGGAAGTTTATGTAGAATATATTATAGGCACCTACTTGTTTATGGTTAATTATTACAGCACCAGGTGTTTTCAGCATTTGTCTAACGTAGATAACGCTATGACAAGAGAGATAAACCTAAAAATATACGATACTTCATATATCTTTTTGATAAATAACTCTATAGAGTTATATGTTACGATTAAAGCTGGGAACATAACAGTAAGTACGTGCGTACTGAAAATAATAATTCTTAATTCGAGATATGACATGACTTAATCTATATATAAATATATAAGCTTACTTTGTACCTAACAAATGACATTCAGGTTACTACCATTAAATTGTAGTTACTTATCCTGAAAATATCAAAACTACTTACTACTAGGAGAGATTTACGCATGGTTTTTGAAAGTAGGCCGAAATGAAAACTTTCTCTATTTTGAAGTCGGTTAAGAAAACTAACAAAGTTTATTCGATAGGGAATGGAAATAGATTTACTTTGACATTGTTCATCCTTCACAAGGTTGAAACCTTCGTGAAGGGCTATTGTCGAAGGTTGTTATGGTAGGTTGCGTTTGTATTACTTATGATTTATGATCACATAATAAAAGAGATCTTAGCTGTATGCATTAGGAGCAAAATTTGTTTGCACACATTGATTACAAAAAAAAAACAAGTGTCAAGCCTCACTACATTTACGGATATAATTCACGAATTCGCAGTAAAGATTGAATTATTAAATCACACGATGGCAACTTTATAGAATAAAATAATATAGATACAAGAGAAATAATAGGTTTTTACCGAAAGTTCTTTCGTTTAGTTTCTGTTATAAGCTTAATTTCGTCCATATCTTGCTGTGGTGTGTATCTAGTAGTTTCCATACCTTTTATTTATTTAATTTTTTATTGAATAGAAGGACATAAGTACTTATAAAAATGAACTAGGTAGCACTGCTGTGTCCCTACTTAGGCAAGCACGACAGTATGTGCAATTGCACGGCTACATAATTATAAAAATAATCTAATACGAAATCAATAATTAATATGCAAATTAATTATTATGCAAATTTAAATATTGCATTTAAGAATAAAGAACAAATATTAGCAGAAATTGCTGTCGTGCTATTGCCAAGTCATTATAATTATTATAGAATTAAAGATGTTTAATACAGGTACGGTCACTATAAATGTTGATAGGTAATTGATTAGATAACAAAATGACAAATTTGTTAAATAGGTGGTACCATAGACGCTAACTAAAATAATTGATTTGTTTTTAAATAAGACCTCATAACTTTTTCTAGTGGATAAACTCCGGAATTTTTTACATTTTATGTTTTTGATACGATACATATTGCCAATACCCAGGTATGTAAAATGATTGGAACAAACAAATTATTACCTACGAGTAGTACTCGTCTTACATTTTACAAACTAAACTAAGTCCAGTTTAAATGCGCTTTCTTTTAAAATATTCATAAGGTAGCGCATTTAGTTGTCTTTTTTTTTGTAATGATTATCACCAAAAACCATTGAAATAGGCCAGATGTTAATTGCGTATACAAAAAGTGCATATTATAAAATTGAAGCACGCATCTGTATATTCTGTGGCAAAGTAGTTTCTAAACTGTTAATATAAGAGGTGAAACTCAAATTTCTAAGTCCTCAGAAGAAATATCTGGTAGTGTCCTAGGTCAACCAGGCCACTACCAGATATACTTCTTCTATCTACACAATGTACATATCATACACCCAGCCTGGGTGAGATAGAGATGTCCAAACAAAACAAAGTGAATGCAATCCGTAGTATTTGCACTTTCGTAGATGTTGCTATTATTGACTGAACTAATGGAAGCTATTTGCTAGATCCCTGGTGAAGGATCTTGATAAAATGAGTACTTGGAAAAGTGGATAATGATGAAACCATTAAAGTTAAGCGTTCGTTCGCTTCAGTTAATTGCGAAATGTACCGTTTATTTATTATGGCACCGATTCAATTATCAGTATATATGTCAATAGCAAACATATTTTACTTACTGAATTGTTTGGAAACAGCGTCATGAAAAGCTATGGTATTGGCTAGTATATTATATCTAGAATCTCCAGGTTTAGGTTAACAATAAAGGAGTAAAGTAATAATTAAGTAATATCAACATCACAAATAAAAGAATACTGTTAGGTATAACTTTTCTTATTGTTGCCTATACCTAAGCTTATGCTTATAATTAAAATGAAATGGTAACACTACCTGTATTATACGGTAGTCAGGTGTCAATAAATAACAAAATAAAGTATATTGATAACTCGTTAAACATATTGTATTTCACAGGGAATCTATCTCTTGGTGTTATAAACTCCAAATTTTTAATATACAAACCATACTTTTTTTGATAAAGAAGCTATCCACTAGAAAAGGATTTTCCGAAATATAAGAGGTAACGAGTACTCGCGGGCAAAGTTGCGGTTAACAGATAATAAATATTAAAATTGTGTTAGCAAAAAACTATTCTCGAAATACGTAGATCCGTCATATTCCATCTTAACCTGTAATTTGTTTGTTACATTTGGGGCAATCGATCAATCACTGCGCCGTATTTTGTGCGAGAAGCAGTAGTTACCAAGAAACGTTTATCAAACAGGTACCCACCAAATTGGATTCTGGTAGGCACTGTCTGTACTTTTGTAAACTAAAGTTACATAGGTGTATAGGGTTGAGCGTCCAAATAAAAAATGAATTTTGTTTACTGTCCCGTAATGAAATCAACGTGAACGTGTTTATTAATTTTTCTTGTGCTCCGTTCGCCTTATTTCATCCCTTCGTGATATTATTATACCAAATGTCATCAAAATTGATTTACGCAAAACAAAAGGCTTTTGTCCTGTATGTCCTATTGGTATGTACATATTACGGTGTTCAGATAAATATAAACGTTTTAGCAGTGATATAACACGTGCCTTAGATTTTTTACATATATCTAATATATACTTAATTCATTGTAAGTACAATATGAAAACTTTGATGACGAAGCGTAATATCTAATTGTTCGTTTCGCACTAGGTTCGTTGGACATTTTAGCATAATTCGATGAACTTAGGTACAGATTTTTTTATATATATGCAAGTAACCCAAACCGCGACTTATAGAATAAAATAATCGATAACTGAATAAATATATATTAGATATGAACATTTTTCATCTTACACATTGTCCAGAAATGCAAATAACCTTGCTTACGGTAACAAGTAATATTAGGCATGTAGCCAACTTTATATTGTGTTGAATACGATGTGCTAAATTTGTAATTTATAATACTATCAATTATCACAAGTGGTCGATAACACGTAACTATTGACTGGATCGAAGAATCGTCTATAAGTTCATTGGTCTGACAATATACGTTTTGTGCAAGAATAAAATTCAAGAGGCGATTACGTGGACAAAGTACAGTACACTTGACTAGAGCGAGAGAGGGAATACTCGAAATAAAACTATATACTACGCTAATAATTTTTTTTAATGAATAATAATGAATTGGTAACTTCGCCTGCCATCAGTACATGCTGGTGAACCATCGGTAAGGAAAGACAGATGAGAATGAAAGCAAGTCAGTTGGACTATCCTTACGAATTCATTAAGAATTCGCCACGATGATTTCTAGAAGCGATGGAGGTTGACTTGACGGGAGTATATTGCTAGCAATGGCGACCCCATTGCTTGTCTCTGTTACTAATAATCTCTTCCTCTATGCTGTCCCGTTTACTAAAATAAAAAAAGAAAAAAACAGATTATAAAACATACAATTTTAAAAGCGTTACAATTCACTATTGTAAAATGTCGCCAATTACGGGTAGACTATTAAATGCACAATTTTTGATATACTAAATACCTACACATTCTTCTTTCATCAATCCTCTTAAAATGACCAAACCAATGCAACGTTTCCTTTTCGATCTTTGTCACTATATATTCTTTCAGTCCACACATCTATATAATCACACTATTTCTCTATTATTGTTACAAATCTTTATAAATATAAAGTGTTATATTTAATTAGCGCGTTAATCAATCAAGTTTTCTAAGAGCAATTATATATAAGTATTTAATACAAAACAAATAGGTACCTATTGTATTTCAAGGATTATGTTATTACACCCACATAGGTGTAATAAGTGATTTCATAGAGTCACGTGTAGCATAGCACAGCATACGGAAGATATAATGTATCGATATATTTTTATTTAGATTAACATTTGAACGTACGGATCAACATGTGTTATGAGTCTTCAATTATCCATTTTTAATTTCATTGTTGGAGTCCACTGAAATTGGGAAGGCGTATTGATTTTTTCTTTTAATATTGTAACTTATAAAAAGTCGCTTGTCAGACATCAATGTCTATGTGTTGAAAATATTAATTCGATATTATCACGACTTGACTAAGATATGAAATTATCAAATTACAGAGACATACGTTGATATTGCCAGTACGTTGTGCGACCAAGAGAGTTTTAGTGGTGTAATTGTAATTTCTCTGTGTTTGCAAATCGAACAGTTTATCCTTCTTCGGTGAATAATATGGCAGTGAGTATAAATTTTTTCCAACCATTTTATATTTAAGTGTTGAATGATAGAAATTTTACCTAATTTAATAATTTTTAAATGACAATAATCCAAATGAAAACCTTGTAACATTTGGGATATTTTATTAATATAATAATATAATTGATAAAAAAAATCGCTCAGTTAAAATGAATATCTTAATTCAACTAAGCTTTTATTCTGTCCGTCTACATAACACGAAATAGTTACGATAAAACTAAGTTAGATAATATGAAAATTAATGAACACGTTATAATTAGTGCTAGCGATCATTGAACTGTGTTCTTTTATTATTATTAATACATATTATTTAGTAATAAAAATGAGTTAATTTTTTTATATTCCATTTTGTATTAATTTGCATAAAATAAAATATATTGAATAGAAAATGATTTTAAAACTTTACAGTGACACTTTTTTACACTTTTTATACTTGAATTTTGATTTTCTATTTATCTAAGATATTATTATGTGCCTGATATTTAGTTATTCAATAGGTACGACTCTAGATTTCCTTGTAGTCATAAATTGTCTTGAACAGACATCTCAGCGGATTGCGGAATCGTAAAATATTAACGATAAATGAGAATTATTAGAAGTTTTTATTTGTCTTCCTATGTAATTTCCGCCTACGTGGAATAAAGGAGAATATTTAGAAGTATTGTAATATTAATTACATCCCGATAATAATAATCCTAAGATTTTGGAGAAGTATCGAATTACTGTTGTACAGTCAACCACAACTGTATTTGGTTGTTATTATAAAGCTATAAGTTTTACGAGTTTTCATTGCTCTCGGTTACTAACTAGGTTCTAACTATACCTGTTGTTGCCCTTGATGCTATATCTGCGTGCGTTAGTATTAACACTAACATCGTCGATCAGCACACATCTGGTCTTCACGTTCCTAAATTAAATGGATTCATCCATATCATTCGACCAAGTGTGAAGGGAAGTGAGGAAGTTATTTTTATGCATACAAACTATGCTAACGAAATAAATCACTATGCCAGACTCGTTTGGAACGTAAACATTAACAAGGTTATCTATCGTATATGCAAACAATAGTGGTTACATGCACAACGACAATGTGTCAAACCTTTGACTTTGTTTAAGATTAAAGTAGATGATCAAACATACATTGTCTCTAGGACTGAATGTGTTCGATCTAGAGTCGATACATATGTATTCGTTCCTACTACACCACCTTCGCCTTTAACCTCTTAAATATAATCATGTTTCTCCACAAACATGACGAGACTTCTATAAATAGAAAATATTTTCTCTGGCATCAAATTATCTATATAAAATTCTATGTCCGTGTGTCTCTTTTTTAATTTCACGTACTCTTAACTAACTTAGTAAAGTAAAAATTTGTAAAGTAAAATCTAATTTACTAAAGTATTAAAGACTTGATTTTAAAAACATATTGTGAAACGCATAGTTTTGAAAAAAAAAACACTTCCTATGTCTCTCTTAAAAAGAAGTAAACATTCAGAATTCATTCGATTTAGTAGAATTAATGGGTCAAAATATTTCACAATAGTTTTTATACGGTTTCTTAATGCATATCAATGCAGCATCAAGATTACGCTATTTGAATACCAAATTGTAGTCTTATTTGACGAGTGATTTAATCTATACTTCGATATTTCAGTTGAGCCCAACTTTTCTATTTTCGGAATCGTATCCAGTTTATTTTTTTACTTTATTTTAATTCATATAAATTAGGTCAATTTATTTGACTTAAAATTTATATTATTTGTCTTAACGTTATCGTATAAAATCGTATTACTATATCAGTAATATATATACTTTTCAATTATTCTTACTTTATCAACACCTTGCCCTAGATCAGATATGGAATATCTTAGATAGGAATCGTATTGTTTTTGAAGAGTTAGCCTATTGAATTTATGATTAGTAACTTAGTAACCGATATTGAGAGTAGATAATGTAAATCTTATTATTATATGATTTAATTAATGAATGAGTATACTTTATTTGCATTATACAATATAGGAAATAAGCAAGACAAATAATGAATGTAACGGTACAGTTGTATAAGTACAATAAGGTGGTCTTATTGCTGAAAGCAATCTTTTTAAGACAACCTTACGATGACGTACTAATTGTTGTGAAAGTAGGTGTGATAATATATGTAATATATTTAAACTGTTTGTTGTCGTTCATAATAAAGAAAGTTTATTCTAAATGCAGTATTTATATTTCAGTTGCAGTTGTAATCTTATTATTCAAGTCGTTGTGTAAATCTTCAAAGTTGTAACTTATCTTTGTTCTTAATTATAGAGTTTATATTGTATATTGTTATGTTGAAGTGTTATGAAATAAGCATTTATTTTTAGAAATGCCTATAATACTTAATAATCGTCAATTTACGCATACAGTTTGAACAAAGAAGGTATGCTTTGCTGCTGAACATAAGCCTCCCCTTTGGGGGATTTTGCAAGTAGTTGCCACGTTTGGCACGCGGAATAGCAACCGCAGTCAGGCTTTAGAGATGTTTTAAGAGGGACGCTGCTGCCCATTTCCCTTAGTCTGCACTTACCACTCTCACGGAAAAGGAAGGAGTGGCTTATTTTATGCCGGGACCACACGGTCAATTGTTACATTATTTGGGATAAATATATATTGGTAATCATTTTAAGAATACTGAAATTATAAAATTATTGAAGGGCATACCGTATTGACCAAGCGATGCCAATTTTTTTTTATATGTATTCGTATATTACACTGAATATTTTGTATTTAAAAATTAGTAATTTCTACTAACTTATACGAGAACTTGTAGATATAAATGTATTACGTCTTGAATTCTTGTTAACGACTCAAAAGACTAATTTACTATGAAATAGAATTCACTGTAACAAAACTGCAATTTGAGAACGTATTTCTATTTATAATTTAAAAATTCTTTGCACAAAATATGTATATGAATTCAAGTTTAGTAAGTGTAATAAAAACGCTATACTTTGTGATAATGTTTGAGTCATAAATATACTATTAATCACACACGCCACGTGTTTACGCAACCTTGAGATCATATTAATCCAACAATATTTTACGTACAGCAAACAAGCTGCTGGCAATGACCATGAAAACAAAACAAGGTAGACAAAATGATTGTGTAATAACAAACAAAACCTTATCAATTTCTTTGAAGTCTCTATAGCCAATTTCTTAAGTAACAATATCTAAATCTAAACAAAAGTTTTGGATATATTTTGTATTAAAAATATTTTATTTGAAAATCTACTTATTATTTTTTTTTTTTTGCAATTTTCATTGTATTTTCATTATGCCTTTATGCATTTCTATGAGATTTGTCAAATCATTTCGTTATACATTCACATTTATGTATTGTTTCAAATATACATCGCTTCAAACACACACAGACGTATATAAGTGTATAATTTTTCCTTGCCTTTCTCCAATGTACCGACCGAATAATTTATGGAATGGAATTTTCCATGAATGTGCCAGAAAAGTTATGTGGTAACTCCCACAGTAGTCAAATGATCATGTTGAACTGTAAACAAAGTTGACCGATAATATAAATTTTATTTAGGTGCCAAATCGTCAGAAGTAATAGACTACCATTAAATATGTAAGTATGGAAAGAACCTATAGACTTGTTAAGAAATAACATTCTTCTAAAGAAATAATGACTGGATATTCATGATGGGGGACGATAAAATGAAGTCTATAGCAATATTAATGAGATCGTCAATGACGTAATGCTTTTAAATTTATGACACGCTAAATTTTAATGACAGTATAAAGACAAATTATTGTTATTTGTGTTTTGATGCCACAGTTCCGATTTCATATGTTGATTTTGGACGATATAGTATTTACATTGATTATTTATACCAATTACTTCTATATTTATACCAATTTAATGAAGAGGAAAGATTTTGTTTGTAATGGATGTATTAAAAAGAACTCAACCGATTTTAAATTCTTTTCACATATAAGAAGTTAAGTTATTAGCGGCTAACATGGGCTATATATTATTTTATAAAAATTAGAGAACCCTACGAAAATTACTGTAATGTATCCATAAGTATCTAAACTTTGATTATCTAATATATTAACTTATTTTCCTGTCTATCTAGTTGTGCGAACCCATGCCGGATTACTAGTTTCAACCGATTTCAAAAAGAAGGTTCTCAGTTCGGTTGTATTTTTTTTTTTATGATTTTCACTTCATAACTTCGTCAGTTCTAAACCTGTTTCATTTTTTTTTCTGAAAGGTTTTAGAATTTGGTTACATAGAAATTTTATCAATCGGTTCAGTACTTTAGTTTACAAATCAAAAGAACTGGTTTTGTCACAATTGAAGCCAGTTTGTTTCTTGGGATATAATCTTTAATTATAGCTGTAAATTTAAATAAATACCTTACGTTTTACCTAAATGCGTGCTTCCCTGTTTCTTTATTATAAGAAAATTTATAGCTGCATTTTTAATTCCAAAAATTCCCGTTCCTATTGACTATCTGATTATTATAAGTTAAAGTAAGAGAGTTTGTTCAATGTTACCATGGGCTTGTATACTTAATTGATATACAAGCTTCAAATTAGATCACAAAGCGAATAAGTTATTTTATAATAGCCAAAAGGCTTTTATAAAAGAAACTTATCTGGTTAACGTACTTTTCATTTGCTCTATTATAATTATCAGTATTTTAAACTCCGAAAGATTCAATTCTGTAAAAAAAGCTACCTGTTATTCCAGTAATTCGCAAATATGATTCTCTAATATTAGAACTATTATAGTTATAATATTAGAGAGTTTGCTCAATGTTAACACAGGCTTGTTGACTTCTTTGATAGATGGGCATCTTAATTAGATCGCAGATTATCTTTGTGTTAGATAGAGCTAATTAGATTCTTTTACAAAGTCCCTTGGCCAACATGCTGTTTTTATTTGTTTACAAGTACGACGTAAAATTAGTCAACTCCTTTGTTTGATTTAATTAGGTTTATATTATCTTAAACAACGAGCTGTATTTATTTAAAAAGACTGTATTGAATCATACCTTTTATAATATGTTTGTAATAAATAATAAGAAAATAATAAAAAAAAAAAACAGATAAAAGGTAATATTTGGTACTCGAGTGGATTCTTAAGCGCCTTTATCTAGGCACCAATATTAACTAAGTGTATAATAGATTTTAAGTCAAACCTACGTTAAGTTTACTATATTTTAATAGTCTGTAATATAATAAATAGTTTCGCTAAACCATCAAATTAAAATTCCAATTTTAAGTATAGGTTTAGAAAATTGCACGTCAGAATCGACTTCAGTAACTCTAAATATAGAAGTATCAAGAGATACGATATCCAATATTATAATAAGAAATAACTTGTTGCAGACTGAAAGCGAAACATCATGCGAAGAAGCAGCAAGATTAACCGCAGAGGGTGCCGCCGCGGATGAGGATGACGACGCATTTGACTACGGCGCCCTGCCTCCACCCCCAGATGGGGGTTACGGCTGGGTTGTCGTCTTTGCTTCCTTCATGTGCAACCTGGTGGTGGACGGAATAGCCTACACCTTTGGAATATTCCTCCCAGAGTTGGTCACGTATTTCGGAGAAGGGAAAGGAAAGGTCGCTTGGGTCGGCAGCTTATTGTCGGGAGTTTATCTTGCTGCAGGTAAATTTTATTTGTACATATTAACACACATTAAAATTGTTCTTCTAGCAGTGTTAATTATGAAATACTTTTTAAACGAACAGAAGTGTCGAAGGAGAGAAAAACTGCTTTTTCTGTTACTTAAGTATGACTTAAGAGAACAAGTGAAACCAGCCTGTAAATTACTATTTTAAGAAGCGAACGCACAGAGTGAGATAGCATACAATGTCAATGTTAGCGCGTAATAGTCGTTTTTTGTGCATCTTATTGTAACGTAGTATTCGATGGAAAATAACTACTGTCGTAGTAGATTTTTTTATTCAATTTTATTTGTAGTTTTCATACCAAGTTCAAGAAACTCTGCTGTAATTGATCAATTCCCTGAGTGAATTTGAATTAAATAGAAATAGACTAAAAGATCATCGCAAGTAAAATACAATTATTTTCGGAAATGTAGTCGAGCAACGAAACTTCACAAGTTTGTATTAAATTTTTTGCAACGGGGAATAGCAAACTGCTGACAGATTATCCACTAGAAAGTGGTAATTGTCGCCTATAGATATGGGTATTACAGAATACACTGTTGCCCATAAAACTGAACAGGAGGCGATTTTAATTCAGATTATTATTAAAATGTCTTTTACATTACATTTATTGTCTATACATTAACTGGTATAATGCATACTGTCTGTAATGAGCATCATTGTTATAAATGATTAATGTAATAATTAAATAATAAGTAATGTTATTAATTATCGTTATTACAAATCTCTAGCAGAATTGATACGAATTAGGCAGACAAAATTAACTTTTTTGTCGTAGACAAGATACGTTTGTCCCTTTTCGGGATAAGCTAATGGGATCGTCGTCCCATAAGCTTTCTATGAAATCGAGTCACGTTCTTTGTCCTCGCATTGTAATCGTTGTTCGTGCCAATTATGTCAAATGCATGGACGCGATATGAAATCATGTATTTGAATATATGTATAGTATATATTTTATTACTATAGATACATTTGTAGAGAGCATCGAAACAATGAAATTATCAATTAATTTTGCCACTGTATATTACCTAAAATACGCGAAAAATGGGCGTGTAATTGTAAAGCCCGATGTTGATACGGACGCATATCTACTCAATTAGTGATATCGATTACTTGATGTCACCAATTATTGTTTCTGTTGTTCTCATAAAGTGATGTCTGACTTTTGGCATTGAGCTCGGTTAAGTATAGTAGCATCTTGATTTTATAGATATTTATAAAACCAATAGCTACGTGAATTAATTATTTATTCTTAGTTAATGATAAGATTGATTGATTGATTATAACTGATTTTGAAATCATCATATGACATACACGTAGTATTTGAGATGGAAAAGAAGAATTTTCTTTTAGGACAGACTGATCCCATTTAATTATCCTGCCACTTGAAAGAAGTCGCGTATCAGTTGGTATTTTCATAATTATCAATCTACCTCTATATTCCTGCTTCATGCCCATAAGTGGCAGGTTTACAGAGATCCAATTAACAACAACTTCTGTTCTTATTATATATGTCTATTTTCTTAAATTCTGTATCTCCTGTTTATCTACCTTCATAATTCGCATATTTTCATAGTTACATTACTGACACATTAACGTACCACAGGAGGACACAAGTTTATATCCATAAAGATAGGAGATAATTCACTATTATGACACTGATCAGAGGGCTAGATGTAGGTTTTTATTTAGAGTTTCTTTGTTCTTGGACTAAATATTGTGTTTTGTTACTTTAAACCTCTCTTACTAGTGATGAAAAGGAATTCTTTTTCTGTCATTACACTATGACAGAAAAATATTTACTTAAAGAAAAATATATTTTGTGGATTTTTTTTTCATTTATTTACAATAACAGTTAAAAAAAACCTGTTTAGGATTTATCCGTTACTGTCTGAATATGAATATAAAACCACGGAGAATATAACAGAAATTTCTAGATCTAAATTCTTAGAGAAATCGTTATATAATACGCTTACAATACAATTGTAATCTCATAATATGTGATGGTGAATATTGTTATATTTCTTATTCTTATCTCAATCTAATCGCTGAAGCTAAATGTGTAATTCATGCGATAATGAATTTTATTAGCAGAAGAAAACAAATTATAATCCGCTAATAAAGCATTTTAAATTAATCTTTATATAAATATACTGTCACTAACTGTGATAATGTTAATTTGGTGACATTAGCGTAAAACTAATTGTTGTTTGTTATCAGTTTTTTTTACTCAATACTGATAAGGCTGTTTAATCTTGTCTTTTAATCAATAATTAACGATTTTTGATGATACATCAAAAATAGGTCCGTCTTAAAAAAGCAATTATAGATTTGTTATTAATGATAATATGTCTACAAATTGTAATCTTATATATTTGCAAATTTATATAAATATTTTATTAATTACTGAAGCAAAAAAGAATATGATTTGTCGGCCCAAATTTTGGCTAAGTTACTCGGCAGATTTAAATTAATAAAAGCAGGATATAGTGGTATTTCAGTCTATTCAGAGTATTGTAGCTCGAAAGACAAGACGGATAACTTTAATACATAAATAATTACAATAAAGGATAGTCTTATACGACGAATTTCCTACCTTTATGAGACACTTACCTGTAAGAAAATATTTATTCTTGACTGATAAAAAGAAAGAAGAAAATCTAATAAATGAAATATTTTGATTATAGTAAATGGAATGGAATTTATTTGGGATGACAAACAAGTTGACGGCTTGTTTAACGTTAATTATTGGTAACAGATGTATTTTTTTTATTGCGTAATATTTTCAGCCAATTCAGATCAGACTTTGAAAATATTTATTGTAATAGACAAGGTAAGTTTCGTGTTTTTGATATGCTGTTTTTTATAGAGAAATCTTGAATACGTGTAATACTTATCTACTTATTTTTCACACGAAAATAGATAATGTCTTAATTTGAGTTAAGTGCAGGCTGTGAAAGCAGTTCTTATCAGCACAGACCCGACATAATAACCCCAATATATTTTTAGCATATCTATTCTACTCAGTTTTATAGTTTAGATGTTTGGTTCGATTTCGATGATAGTTTTGTGTCGTTACACACAGCAACGTCGATAAGAGCATGGAACCTCTACTCTGTTTTATATACATACATACAGTGACTTTTTTAAATTCACAATTCGAATATACTACAAACTAATACTGTGACTCGCATGTATACACGGCTCGTACAGCTGTCAATTTAATATGGGAGAGAGCTATAAATTTATCGATTTTTTTTCGGTTCCGTTCCGTTCTTTGGGAAAATTCAGTTTCTCTAATACATCCATGAAAAAAAAAATACAACTATCCCTTAAAAGTACTCTAATAATTTCGTTTTCATTCTGTATACAAATCAATTCCTTGAACTGGTTACATGATGCGTCAGGTTCTAGTTGTAGCAGTTTGTACATTGAGCACAAGGCGACTATAATTATGTTTAATTTGTTAAATATACAAATCTAAGGGTTTGTTTATTTAAATTATGATCATTGTAGGTATTTATTTACATATAATTCTAAAACCTAAATAGAACATGCTTCTACCATCAGAACAAAATATTACGACGCGTTATTGTTCTTCTTTCTTATTCTCGTAATAAGTTTAATTATGAATCTATGATAAAAGTTTTATTTCCAACATAACGGTTCTACTGAGTTCCTGTGGTTCTGGTACTTTGTATACGTATTGTAAAAAATAAAAAAGTATGTACACTCCTCGCAAAAATTAAGGGAACATAAAAATTTTTGAAATTTTTGGGTGATTTTCAACAGGCTGTATTTCAGTGAAAAATAATCGTACAGGAAATTTAAAAAAAGGGTTTTGAAGCTTGAAAACTCTAGTTTTCAGATTTTTTAGTGAAAAAAATTTTTGAGCTCCGGTTTCCATGCAATTCTTAAACAAAGCTGAAAATAAATTTTTTCTAAATTTTCTAGGTTTCGTTTTTCACTCTATGGGCATGGAAAAATTTTTTCGAGCTACTCCATTGTATAGGTCTCTTAGCGTGTTTATTCAGCTTCAAAAATCGCTTTGGATGGCTCAATTACGACCATTTGTCTCCGAGATATCGAACTTTGAATGCAAAAGCATCCTTTTCCATTCAACTGCTAATATCTCTGGAACTACTGGTCGCACAGCAAGCGGGCGCCGAGTTTCTTTATCTGCATAAAATTTTCTTGATTTTTTTCGATTTTTTTTTTTTGATAATGAATTTTTAACAAACAAAAAATTGAGTAAAAAGTGAAAAACATGAAATTATTGATTTTTGAATGGATTAGGGTGAGTTTAAGGGACAAAAACCTTGTTCCCTTATTTTTTCCAAAATTTCAATCAATTGGTCCGGGAAAAACCGTTGAACTGATCGCTCCAGGGATTTAGGGGTTCTTTAAGGAACAATAGACTGTAAAATTTTCCTCAAACCTTAGCTTTCCCGCCCATATTAGCGAAGATACAGCCAAGTAACCAAAAAAGAGAAAAAGTCACTTTTTTCCACTTTTTTCAATTCAATGTTAGAGGTGGAAAAAATGTTTTTCTTCACTAACTCTTGACTGTGCTTAATTGGAAATTTTATTCAGATAAAGAAACTCGGCGCCCGCTTGCTGTGCGACCAGTAGTTCCAGAGATATTAGCAGTTGAATGGAAAAGGATGCTTTTGCATTCAAAGTTCGATATCTCGGAGACAAATGGTCGTAATTTAGCCATACAAAGCGATTTTTGAAGCTGAATAAACACGCTAAGAGACCTATACAATGGAGTAGCTCGAAAAAATTTTTCCATGCCCATAGAGTAAAAAACGAAACCTAGAAAATTTTGAAAAAAATTATTTTCAGCTTTGTTTAAGAATTGCATGGAAACCGGAGCTCAAAAAATTTTTTCACCAAAAAATCTGAAAACTAGAGTTTTCAAACTTCAAAACCCTTTTTTTAAATTTCCTGTACGATTATTTTTCACTGAAATACAGCCTGTTGAAAATCACCCAAAAATTTCAAAAATTTTTATGTTCCCTTAATTTTTGCGAGGAGTGTATATAAGAAAGATTGTATTCTATTACACAGCCCGCAATTTTTGACCAATTTGTAAACTTTTTTTTCGTATCATAATAACGAAATGATTCTTTATAATGAAATAGTATTATTTTCTCATAAAATATTATAAAATATATATGGATTTATGCTAGTGAATGACACAGTTGATATGTTGCAAAAATGTGTCAATAAACAGTTATAAAATCGTTAAAATATATTATTTATGAATGAAGTTTGCCTTCGGTTTATCTTACCCTACTCTGATATCTTTAAGTGGATATCAGATTATTGCAACATAATCAATAGACGGTCATATTAAGGACATCTTGTGTTTATACAAATAAAACCCATATACAGGTGTCATTGAAGTTGATTGACCTGATTTAATTGATGAATTTGTTTGGTTAGTTTAAATGATTGTGTAACATTGGGATATTTGTTTGTATGTATGTTATGTTACTCGAACGTTACAATTGGTTGTTGTTTGTGATGTTTTAATATATGTAATACTGATTTGGCTCGTTAGTACTATTTTGAAACTTTGGTACTACTATCTGTTATGTCCATGATACTGCTCATGTCTATGGTCTAAGGCGATGGTTACCACTTTCCATCAGTTTGGCCGTCAGCTTGTTTGCCATCCTAAGTTGTATAAAAAATGTGTATAGTGATATAACTAAAAGGTTTTGCCGTGCAAAAAGCAATAATAATTGTGGTAAAATTAATACAAAAGTTACATGCTAGTAAGCGATTGCCAATAAAATTGACAAAAGAATTTGCAGAAAATATCGCATAATACACACGAAATTGCCTTAAAAATGAAAGGTATTCTTAAATGTCCTTTACATTGTAAAATACGAAGGCGTTTTAAATAAATATGTATTGGTATAATAAATAAGCTGATGGCCTGTTTCTAAATATGTTCTTTATTATTTTTTCTAGGTCCAATTGTATCGGCGCTATGCAATAAATTTGGTTGTCGGGCGGTGTGCATTGCCGGCTCGTTGATAGCTACAGTTGCTTTCGTGCTATCCACATACAGCAAAAGTGTTACTATGATGATGCTCACTTATGGACTCCTTGGAGGTAAGAATTCTTTATTTAATCTTAACATAATTATAATTACATAAACATGTTCGTTTCATTTTACATTTTCCTTTTATTTAGTCACATGGATTTGGATCGTAAAAATAATATAATATATACATAACAGAGTATACTGTTTCGACCACCATATACATGTTTGAATATTAATAATCGGTTGACTTTTTATATAACAAAAAATAAATCCAGTATTAAAACTAAAAACCTAGCTAAAACCAAAATTTCGATCGGGGTAGGTACATATTAACATCTTTTGTTGTACACGTGTAGTGTTTTGTTATTGTTGTTTATCTGTGACCATGTTTGTATTGAGATAAAAATCTAATGATAGACTTTGTTTGGCATTTCGTGATAAACTTCAATTTCGTGTCCAATTTATAAAAAAATTGGTTCAATAAGTATAAGCGTGACCATAGCAATTTCAGAATAATCTATTTATGATACATTCTTCTTTGATGACTGCTCAAGGTGACGGCATTTATGGTGCATGATAGATACTGGTAATAGGTACAGCAGAATCGGGCAGACTTAATTATGGTAGTCAGTATGAGTAAGTTGTACTTTGTACTACTAGAGATTCTATGTAAACATTTAAGTGTCAGGAAGCGAAATCTTGGAAAAAATTCAACAACATCGCCCACGTGGCACAATTATATACTCCTTCATCACAACAACATTGTAGTAACACCACAACGGAGCTATAAAATCTTGATATGATATGCGATTTAGTGAAAATAATAAGCATTCACTCGTCATACTGTATAAATATCTGTTCCTAACATTTTTTTAATTGTGAAATAAGTAAATAGGGTACCAAAACTAGAAATGAACCTTATCTACTACAAAAATCTGTAAATTGCAAATTACGTAATTTTGAATTGAAGAAATTGAAATATTTATGAGTAAACATACACAAAAATTAAATCGCAGATGAATTGAGAACCTCCATCTTAAGACCATATCCGCTGATGTTAGAAAGTTGAAATTAATTATTGAATTAATAAACGAACTTTAATTAAGAAACTTCCATAGGTATGGAAAATTAAGGGTTCGCGCGGATGAAGCCGATCAACAACTAATATCTCTACTATTAAATATATAAGTATTTAGAATTTAACCTCGAGTATTTGCTTCGAAGACGTTATAATGCAATATAGAAAAAAGTAACGTGAGAATATTCACTTAAAAGAACTTCTTAGAAAAGAAAATGAGAAAAAATAATTCGACTAATTAGTTAAACTTGAATTCAATACATATATGCCAATTTAAATTAGCCGTATGGTCTAGGCATAGAATAGGCCACCCCTTCCTATTTCGTTGGTGTCGTAAGTGCCAACTAAAGTAGGGCGAGGGATGGTCAGCAGTGTCTCTCTTAAAACATCTCTAAAGCCTAACTACGTTTACCAATCCGTCAGCCAAGCAGTGCAACTATTGGCAAAACCTTATGTTCAGCAGTGGACAGTCAATAGCTGATATGATGATGATGATGCCAATATAAAAGCAAACTATAACACGGTTAATCAAATCTTACGATGTACGCAGACTGGAATAAACTTTCACATATTTAGTTGGCATTTATAGAGATGTGAGATGCAAAAGTGTAGTATTGTTATTTGAATGTTTGGACATGTTGGCATGCTTATTGCTTTATGAATAAAATTAATCTAAATCCTAAATAGATAGTCGAATTGAAATTTGTGATGTTTTTATTTGTTTCAAGGCAGAATTTTGTGAGCTATTTGTAGAATAGCAGTCGTTCTTTAAATCTTTGGTAATTCATGTGTTCATAGGTTAAAGTTAACCTTAATAAAAAAAAAAAAAAACTATGTGTTTATTATTGCTACGGAAGAAAATAAGAGATACATAATTAATAGTGTAGAAACAACCAATAATGAGTAAAACAGTTTAAATGAACACATACAATATCTTTAGATAGGAGCAGTAGTTAATTTCATATTACGCATTATTTTCATATGGCAATAAATGGATAAAAACATTGTTTATCATTGCTCAAACATAAACGTTGCTATTATTTTACTGAACTAGGTGTTATTTTGCAGAAATCTATATCACTGATAGATAGTTGATTAGAATTATTTTGATTAATTCCGCTACCAATAGTAAATATACTGCAGTTCTTTGCAGTTTGGGCGCCGAATGAAGACTGGGCTTTGAGCAACAATCTATTAATTTGCCCGAAGATGCCTCGTTTAAAAGTAAAACACACGTCGCTAGATGGGCGTGGATGGAATAATGGTTAGGTATTAATGGCTAATGGAAGGTTGTTGAATTTTGGTTATAATAATAATAGTCAATCTTCGAGTGTTCGCAATCGTAGGCATACTATTGACAGCGGAATTGAAGAATATAATTCTAATCAACTAACCAGCAAAAACGTTGCTTTCCAAAAACTACTTGTTTACCAACATTGTGGATGTTTCGAAGAAATGTGTTCTGTTAATTGAGGTATTGTGATAAAAAACAAATGACTCATCAGGTTCCAAGGTGTACGTGGCTAAGGATAGAAATTATCCATTCAGAAATTCCTGCATTGGCCTGCATCCAGCAGAAACATACGTCAACCGACTGATTTAACGTGTCGTTAGTTAAAACGACTTGATTATCATGTCGCTTGTCAATTTAACGTCGCCAGATTATACTGCGAGTCAGTTTAACTTTAATCTAGTAAACAACTACAAATCCAAAACACGGTTGCATAATGTCCTTTAGTACTTTTATGCTTATGGAATTGATTTCATGCATTACTTACATCACTCACTGTATATATTGTCGTGACCTAGTTATTTACCCGACTGAAAAATAATCCCTAAGGCCGTGAGTCCCAATCGAACCCGAAACCAAGACGGTATTTCAATTTTAATTCCATCAAAAATAAGTGCCAAGTTTTGCAATACAACCTCTATACCGTTGTAGAGGTATATAACTCGACACTTGAAAGTTGTAAAATTCTACATTTTTTTATTTCATCAATCACATCATGTTTGTGACTCTGTCATTATTATTTATATATATAATATAAATCATTATGAACTGGTGGTCGACGTACATACCACGTCCACCACCAGTTCATTAGCGAACTGAGAAGTAACAAGTGAGAACTAGTATTATATCACTGCAGCTGAATGTTAATTTATGTTTTGTGATTGACAAGTCACGTTATTTTGTATCTGAACAAAAAGATATTATATAATAATGATATCATACAAAATATTTCCAAAATATTTAAATAGATTTAACCACTTACAATTGGCATTTGTAATATTATTTATTTATTATACATGGAACTAAACATTGAAATGTAATTAAATACTAAAATATGCAATGTAATATATACTTACTAGATGCTGTTTACATTGGTACATTAAAAGCATGGACGCCGGTCTAAAGCATGTTATGTTAATAGCTCCGTTGCTATTGGCCTTGGCACAATGGCATAAATGTGGATGCGAACCGTCCTTCAAAACTTGGCGCCTGTAAATACATTGAGACATTATTATTCAAAGAAAATGTATTGAGAGAATTTGCCGAACACCTAAACCGGTAGATATACCATATGTACGAGTCAATACTCGTCACAATTGATTATTCACATAGACATGTTAATTCACAATGATAAATTCGATAATAAACGTTATTGTTATGGCATTTGCCCTACTTTTGAAGTGGCCAAGCGGGATTTTACAGAATACACCCAAGTGTTGTTAGAGCATAAAATTAACTAACGGTCATTTGGAAGCCTTGGACCGATCCCCTTATGTTTTCTGATGCCAAACTTAAAGTACCCATACATTTTGTTTACAAATACAAAAATTACTGTTATTGGATTTGTCCTACTTGGGATTTGGAAGAAGTAACTATCCGTAACATCATAGAATACTCAAGGGTCTTCAGAGCATAAAATCATCAATGGTCGTTAACGGTCTGTCCAAATTATTAATGTCTTAGAATTTGTATATATAATTTTATGATCCCAAGGCCCGATAATAAATTCTTGCACTATTTCACAAAGAAATGCGTGAAATGTAATGTTGAAAGAGGACGGAGAAAATTAACTGGAAAGATCGAGTTAATAATGAACGAGTCCACTTAAAGTTAAGGAAAAAAAAAACGTTATTTAAATTATTGAAATCAGAAGGAACAAAATGTTGGGACACTTAATACGATACGACACACTTATGGACATCATAATAGAAGGTAACATAGAACGAAGGAGGGGATGGGGGAGACCAAGGCACAGTTGCGTCAGGCAGATCAAGAAAAAAGTTGGTGTCGTGTCGTATCAAGTTGTGAATTGACCGACCACCGTGAAGGCACCGACAAGAGCGCAGCTCTTAAATATGAATGAATGAAATGGGCATAATGAAACTACCATTATCGTGACGTGTTGTGCCTAGTCGATATTATTTTGTGATTTCCAAACACAAGGTCTTATTCTCTAATATCATTGCTGCCAGGTGCCTCGTGTTCATCACTACATAATATTATATCTACCAGTAATCAAATCTTTTTAAAAATAAATTGTAATAATATTGGCGTTAATGAACTCAAAAATATGTCTGTATTTTTTGTTTGTTTATTAGTGTATCATGTAAACGAGTGGTACCGATTTCGTTGAATGGTATATATAGCGTTGCCAACTTTTTTTTGCTGATTTCCATTACAAGAAAATTCAGTACGTAATTTAAGAAAATACTTTTAAGAATATAATATATGGTTAAGAATCAGCTGGCTACTTCCGTCATTTCGTACCTACGTGTGGATGTCTACAGTAAATCGTAACGTTTATAAATAATTTAATTAATTAAATCTTAATAAACCAACTTAACTAAAAAGGCATACCTACCTACTCGTACATCGATGTAAAACCTTCAGTCCTTTACGATTGTGTTGGTGAAAGAAGTAATTGTTTTGTTTTTCAAATAGTTGGAGGAGAAGAAATGTCCAGTCAAAAAGGTTTTAATTTAAGGTTGAATAATTTTTTGTTACCAATTAATTGATATATTAAGTATGTATTTTTTAACTATTATTTTATTACTTCTGTTTTCTTTGTTCCCTAAAAAAATTAACACAAAACATATGTCAATTGGACATTTGCCAACATACAGTAAACAAGACGTATGTCTCTAAAGGAAGGGTTTTACAAAGCTCTTTACTAAAAAATCAATGAAGGGGAAATGCGGTTTTCCCTATTACTTGTCTGGTAGGTATTCCATCCAATGGACGATATGACATTACAGCGACTTCACAGGATTCATTAAAAATTGAAAACTAATTACACGGTTTATCCTGCATTTTACAACTTCGTCTATTGTGTGTATATTTTTTTATTTATTTTTTTCTGAATGCAAGATTATGCATTTTAAAATATTCTAACTTCTAGTACTTAAATATAATTACATTGTCTGATAAAATAATGTGTATAAAAACACACATACAAAAGTATATATAGAGTATAACAATGGGCGATCTTATCGCTAAGAATGACTTCTTACGACCAACTTATTCTAGATGGAGAGGAGTAATTTGATAATCTGGTCATTAAGTATTTTTAGTATTATGCACTGTATCCAGCCAATAACTGATACTAAACGCGATATATTCTTAATTGGTTTTTATCCTTTCAATTTTATTAAGGACCTTTTAAAGGCACCTTGAGATTATCTTGTTTTGAACTGCCTACACTTTTGGATTGACGTAGGATGATGCTGGCTTCATGCCAGATTTTGCAGACATTAGGGCGCCATACAGGGCGTTTTCTTGGCCTATTATAGAATTATGTCTTGCTATGCAATTGGTTCAAAATAGTTAAGTTTATTATTACGAGGCTAATTGTATTTCGCGGTTTTTCTTGCAGGAAGTATTGAGATCTATCTATATACTAAACTTCAATCTAATCCGTTCAGTTGTTTAATAGTAATTGAATACCTATTATTAAAATAAGTAATACCAATTATTTGAATTATTTGTTAGCTACTGATTCACAAAATATGGAATTATTGAGGGAGACTTTGTACAAAAGTCGATTGCTTGGGTACCTCTGTCTCATTCGTATTTCAACCGTAAAGCAGTTGTGTTTGCATGGCTGTGTTTTGGTTTGAAGGGTGGGATATGGCATGAATTTACTGGGTACGGAGGAATAACACCTGAGTCCTCAGGAATGGCAACGCATGGGGGGTATCATGGGCGAAACAGTATACTCTGTTATGTCCATGGTACTGCTCATGTCTATAGGCGACGGCTACCACTTTCCATCAGGTGGGCCGTCAGCTTGTTTGCCATTCTAAGTTGTATAAAAAAAATATACTCCTTAATCACAACGGTAGGTATCATAACGGTTTAGCATCAGGCAATTTCAAATGTTTGAGTGCCCATTATTTCCATAAACCTTTAAATCGTGTTTGTTGGTAGATTGCCCAGTTGACCTTTTTATGTTATGTATTTTTATACAGGGATTATTACACACACACACAGACTATATATATATAAATATATATATATATATATAAAATATCAAAATTTTAATAGGCATCTCATATCTGCCCTTTGTTTTTTAAACAAATTGATTTTTATGTATATAAGTGACAGTTATCATTTTCCATTATTAGGCCGCTACTTTGTTTGCCATTCAAAACTGAATAAAAATGTAACAAAGTTACAAAAAGCCGACTGCAATTTTACGTTAGTTTTAAGTTTACGGCTGCCATAATCAGGTGTCATGTAGCGTATAACACGCATTCCCAGGAGTAATACAAACGTAAGGACCGACACCCCATTTATTATAATCCATCAAGCATATGAAAATAAAATGGTAACCCCATTTGCCTTATTGATTTACGTTGTTGAAGTAACTTTTATTCTGTGGTATCAGTGGGGGATGATAAGTGACGATCGAAGGACGAATTCGTCAGGATTTAACAACGGTGGTTCCCAAGAGTATCACTTGGAGGTCAGTTTGTTAGGGTATGTTACTAGCAGTGGGGCTGTTAATTACTATTAATAACATTTGTCCTTACCTTGGTACAGTATAAATACGGAGTTTTTGTATGAAGTGTTCGGGGTGTGCCTCTGAGGTATACGTTGTGTCGAAATTTTGGCATTCCTATTAATATTAAAAGTATGAAAGTTTGTAAAGATGTTTGGATACAAGCGTATTATGTTAGTCAATCATGCTTACACGATTGAATGGATTTGAATGCAATTAAAAGGTCATATCCTAACTTAACACAGGATGCTTTAATACCTACAAATTTACCAGAGAGAGACTTTCCTTAGAAGTCGTTTGCTTATTTGTTTGGGTACCTCTGTTCCATTCGTGTATTTACCGTGAAGCAGTTGTATTTACATGGCTGTGTTTCGATTTGAAAAGTGGAATATGACAGTGGATTTACAAGGTAGAAAGGCATAACATCTTACTCCTCAGGAATGGCAACGCATGGAGAATATCACGGCCGAAACTCCCAATTCTGTTATGTCCATGGCACTGTTCATGTCTATAGGCGACTCTTTCCATGAGGTGGGCCGTTAGCTTGTTTGCCATTTTAAGTTACATAAAAAAAGTACAATAAAAATCTTCCTTAATATACAACCTATTCGAAGTTCCAAGTGATTCAAATATTATTTCAGTGTAAAAATTACACTCAAATAAGTTTGTACGTCTCAATCTAAATAATTAGCGCGAACGTTTAGCACAATTGACGGCTGATCCCACTTGGCAGCAGTGTTGAGATCATCGGATTCAATGTCGAGAGCATTCGAAACGCTGTTTCGTCACGGCTGGTGGACGTTTCAACGTGGCCCAACTATTTTTGGTTTATTCCTTCTATAAGGTCACGAAAGTACACAGGAGCTGTTGACAGTTCATGAACATTTTTGTCATATATAAATTCGATTCGAAAATGGAATTCGATTAAGATATCAGTTTATTCTACACTTTCTAAATTACATGATATTTTAAATATTGCCTGATATTAGAATAATTTAAGGTCTTGTTTTGCAAATAATAATAGTGAATGATGCACAATTTTTTTTAAAAGTCTTCGACTATGACAATGTTAATTTCTCATATATAACTATGATCAACACGGTAGTATACTTATTTAGAATTACCAAAATCGGTTAAGAATTGTATTTGGTAAGATTTTTTGTAAGACAAAAAGAAAATAGACGACAATTAAGCACTTCACCGAGTCGTTTAAAAATTAGAGCAAATTATCACTGTCGCAAAATGCATATTTTATTACGTTACGTTTAAAAATATATTATTTATAAACATAAAGCAAACATTGCTAATAAGTAAACTGTGAAACGGATTCAATGTTACACGAATGTCATGTCCCAAAGCAACAAGATTCATTTAGCCAGACTGTTACTTTATTTATCAATATGTATTTTTAACCAAACTCAACGCTTGAATTTGTTATAAAATAAAAGTTTTATTGAGCTAAAATAGAGATATCCCGGTAACGTAAGGTTATAAGAGATACCACCAAGGTTATGATCGCTTTTTAGTCCCACTGTTGGGAGCGGATTTCTCTCCGTGTATATTATACTTTGTTCTCCTGGTACCCTCTTACGATATCCTGGGAATAAATGATACTGATGACACATTATATTATTTGTTTACGTCTTCGTCACGCGAATATGGTTTCGACTAAAATGATGTAAATCTAGAGTAATAACTTTTGTATTTTTTAGTTTTTTAATGACTAATATCATAAACATAAGATGTTAATGCTCAGAGTTTTAAATTGTAACCTTGTATATTTTCTGGCACATCTGAACGTGGATTTAAAGTAAAAGAATAAAGAGCGAGAATAAAGAGAATAGTATAGAACCAAATAGATTTGGTAAAACAATGTAAGAACAACAATATAAAATTATTTGCAGATACAGTTGAATAATAAAAGAATTGCTTTAGTCATCACCACACATTTATAATAAATCAACATTGGAGGAGTTTTTATCACTCGCTTGGTTTTTTTTTATACAACATAGAATGGCAAACAAGCAGACGGCCCACCTGATGTAAAGTGGTAACCGTCGCATATAGACATGAGCAGTACTATGGACATAACAAAGTATACTGTTTCGCCCATGATATCCCCCATGCGTTGCCATGGTCCAAATACATCTGGGAATGAATAAAATCGTTACAAATATCTGCGTCTATAATTTAACATAACACGGTATAATAACATAGGACAGAAAACATATATGCAACTAGCATTTACCCACGACTTTGTCAGCATGAATGGGATATGTTCACCGACTGGAACAAAAATAGTCTTTTTTCCGTTTTCCCATTCTTGTAGCATTTGTATACAAATTTCATAGTGATTGGTTGAGCAGCCAAAAGATAAGGTTAGATAAGTAACAAACAAAGACAAAAGCTCACTTTCACATTTACGATTTTACTTAAATAATAAAATTATAACTAGACTGCCTGTACATGGCAGATATTTAATAAAAATTAATATATCGAAATACTAATAGATGCCAAATCAATCATTTTTAGAAATTTTGTTTCTCTCCGTCTGTTTGTTCTGGCATCACAAAAAAAGTAGTCTAATATCATTGGTTTTCTTACTTTTAAAATACATGAGTATGAGTGTAGCGGGCAAAAAGCTAATTATAAATAATTATTATTATTATAAGAATAGACAAAATTAAGTATGAGTATATCAAAGCATGTCGTGTGTGCCCCGGCATAGAATGGGCCACCCCATCCTTTCCTGTAGATGTGATGATGAACTTAATGGTAGGAGGCAGCATCCCTCTTAAAACATCTCTAAAAGCCTAACTGCGGTTGTCAATTTGCCAGGAAAGCATAGCAACTACTGGTAAAACTTCCCTTATGATAAAGACTTATGTTCAGCAGTGGACAGTTAATGGCTGAAATAATAATATCAGAGGAAGTGTGAAAGTAGCATCAGTGATAAAAAAAGTTAAAGAGTAACCGTCTGTCCTGGTATGGACACGTGATGCACAGGGGTGAAGAACGTGTTTTAAGAAAGTTATTAAGAATGAATGTGGATAGCCATCCATCCTGTGTCCTTATAGCCATAAGGACACAGGAAGACCTAAAAATACATGAATGGACTATGTGAAAAGTAATATCGCCAGAATGGAAGTGAATGCGGAGATGATTGCGAATAAAGAAAAATGGAAGAGAAAAACATATTATACCGATCCCAAATAATAATTGGGATAACGATATGAGGATGATGATATAATATTATGAGAATTGTATGGTGACATTTCAATTTTTCAAATTCTTAGTTAGGAAAACGAGTTATTATCGTAACATGTGTCTTGTCAGTTTATTGACATCAGTAACGAAGTCTTTGTGTTGTTGATGCCAAAATAATAATATACTCTTAGCGTGGCAAGTAGGTATTTCGTATTTTAAGGACTGGTAATGTATAGGGAAATTTATATGAAACGCTCGAGTAATAAAT